GAGAATATTTCGTTAATTATCAGTCATTAGAGCACAAATATATTTCTTTGTTTAATAAATAAGCACTAAAAGTCGATTTTTAAATTAATGACTATGTTAAATTTTCAAAAATTTATTGAACTACTTCTTTCTTAATCCATTTTTCAATATCATCATCTTCTAAACTTTTATATTCAATATTGCTTGGATAACTCGCTCGATTATCTGTAGAATGATTATGTCCAGTCGACTTTACAATTGAATTTCCATCGAAAATCATTCGTCCATTACATTTATTTCTCTTATATTGTAAGCACAACCAATAAGTCTTTGATCCAATTTTTCTCTCACATCGATAGACGAATCCCGAATGTATTAGAAACGGTGCACCGCGTTGGCTTCTTATAAATGACCATAATACTTTTATATCATTTTCTGCTCGATATTCAATAAATTTCAAATCAGAAATTTCTAAAAAGAATAATTGATAAAGTCATAATCAGGAAGATGAACTTATTGCTTACAATCAATCATTATTTAAAGTACAAACGTATTGCAACAAGAAATGTTAGGTTTTATAAATCGTTTTTAAAATTTATTATTTTCATTCATGTAAGCTTAATGGTTAGAAAGAAAAAAATCTAATAAATATTATCATCTAATTTTTCCATTTTATCAATCTTTATGCTTTTTGTCGATCGTTCCCTTTCTTTCTTGCAAATTCTCTCAATTTTATCGGTATGCGGTGCATGATTATGCTTTCCACCGGTAAATGCTATTATTTTTCCATTCGATATTAAGCATCGTGCTCGACAACGTTCATCCTTATTTTTCCTAAACACCATTCAAAAATAGATAAGATTCAAGATTCAAATTTATGGACGATGATAAATAATAGGAAAAAATGGCTATTTACTTTGAATAATTGTGGCATCGATAATAAATCTTGTTGCCGTGCGTACTATGACAATTGTACAAGAAATTGTTATGGACAAGACATTTCGTTGACCAAGGCGTCGTAACAAATGTTAATTCTGTGTCGTCTTGCAATAATATTGGCTGTTCATATTCCTCATAGACGTACTCATATTTTTTATTCGAGGATTTTGGTGTAATTTGGATATCTAATTGTTCCTCAGTTTCAATAAAATGATATTCTAAAGACGAATAAAGAAACGAAATAAGCTCAAATTAATCAAATGTGATTCTCAAAGATTTTATTTTTGAATATTCCGATCAATAATGAAAAGTCTAGGATTGAAATTTGATCAAATTTTTTACAAGTTCTATTTATTTATCAAATTTTTTTCTTTTTCTTATAATAATCTTCTTTACAGTTATATATCTTATCTATTTCTTTTTGTCATCTTTTTTGGTACTTGATAATAATTGCGGTGGATGATTATGATTTGGAGATGATATTTTAACAATTTCATTATTATTCGTTATACATCGCGCGTGACATGGATTTGCTTTTCTTTTGCTACAGTATGTACAACGCCACCAAATTTTAACATTTGATCCAATTTGTTTACGTCTATTTGAGGAATACAAGAACTTATTAAGGATCAAAAGTTTACCGCCCCACCGACTTCTTAAAAAATGTAATTTTCCTTCTGTTATCGCTGCTTGTTTTTTGAGAAATTAGAAACAAAACAAAGAGATTTTTTTTTTACTTTTTAATGCATGTATGAGGACCATTTGACGTTTTAACTCTATTTCCTACAACTATTAACTTTGCCTTGCAATTAAACTTTGACTTTGTATTTACACAATTCCAATATTCTGTTGTTTTTGTCTTTCGATTGATTATGTATCGGTATCCATTAAAAAGTATATGCAATTTTCCTCGACGACTTGCAGTATATTCAAGGATTCCTAATATGATAAAACAATTTTTGCAATATATTCAATATTAAATCGATTCGCAATACTACAATTTTTTTAACATTAAATAGAGAGCAATGGATTCAATTAGGGTAGGTCTTGATATTAGGATATGAACTTATTAAACATTCATTAAGCATTTCGGGAATCATTTCAACTTTGATTTGTATACGCTCTTCATATTCTCGTGCTGCTTCCGATAGTGCTTTGAGTGTAATTAAACCTTTCTGACGAGCTTCCTGGATTCGTACATAATCAGGCTCATGATTATGTGGTACTGTAAATTATGTTTAAATTAGGCTCGTCAGTCAAATGCTAGATAAAAACATGAGCATTGAGCTTACCGTTACTATTTGATCTATAAATTTTATCACCGACAGTTTTTATACGTCCACGACATCGACCATTTCGATTCCAAATGCATTCAAAGTAGAATACATTCTTCTCTAAGCCGTGTCGTCTGAAATTCGATCGATAAATATAGTTATCGTATACTAGGTGATGACCACCTTTTCGACCTCTTAAAAATGAATAAACACTCTCGGATGCATCGATATAGTAATCTGAGAGAAAAATACAAAGTTGAAATGACGCAACGTTAATTTTTCATCCTAATTAAACCTTCATCTGATAGAAACATTTCTATCACTGTGGTTTATCATTAATTCATAAAAGGTATCAACAAACTATGACACAAGAACGTTCGTCTCTCTAATGCAATTATATTAGATGTGTACCTTTTTGGACAGTAAATAGTGTTTTTATGGATACTTTAATATTTTACAACTATCTAGTTTGAAGGAAATTTAAAGACATCTCGATTACATTAAGAGCTGCTAGATGCAGCTTTTAAATTTATAAAAGATATTTACTTGCCAATAAGATACAAACATCAAAAATAAATCATTGATTATTCAAATTAGTTTTCAATTGTGCCATAATTAAAAGATACCTGATAGTGACATGAATTTTCATATTGCGCTAGATCAAGTAATTTAAATGCGAGCATAAGAGATTAAAAACTTCAAGTAAAGTATTTTGTACTAGACTTTTATTAATCTTTAAATTGTCTGAAAAAGTATAAAAATGTACAACTGAAATAAATAAATAACTTAAAGAGGTTCAGTAGCAAACAAGCTACTCTTCAAAATTCTTGAAGTTTGTGGTGGATGTTTATGGGTTGTCTTACATCTAATAAGTTTGGTACCGTTTACTATACAATTGGCAAAGCATTTATATTTTACCGCATCCGCACATCTCCAATTTGTATTTCCATTTTGGAAAGTAATTTTCTTATTGTATAGATATCCGTTAAAGACTAACTGTGGCTTACTCTTTTGACTTCTAATAAATTTCAATTCACCTAATGTTCAGAGCATGATAAGAAGAAAACAGAGAAAGAGCAGAGAAATTCAAAATTAAAAACAACTTTTTTTTTCGAAAAGTCGATGGTTTAAAGTAGTGAACTCTAGCGGACGACATTCGATTTATAGACGTTAAAGGGAATTTCTGAAATTTAAAAGCTTTTCTATTTTTAAGACTTGTATTTTTCCTTCGGTTTCACATTTCATAATGTTCACATGAAGGATAGTACCGTTTTCAGTCTTTTTTCTGTTCCTCTTTATGACCATTTCTCAACATTAAGCTTTTTACAGCTCAATGTTTTGAAATTTCAGGAAACGTTATTTTGTTTGTGATTTACTAAAAGAGAAATTTAATTAAGATTGAAATTTTTCTTTGAATTAAATATTATGTTTTTACCTTTTCTACACTTTTCAGTGCACTTACAAGCCTTATATACCTAGCTTTCCTTTTACCTCACTTTTTCACATTTATGTATGTTTTTTTTAAAACTGATTAAATCACTTTTTCGAAATATTCTTATGATTTGTGAATCAAAAATGTCAATCATGAAAATATTTCTAATATAAATTATGTTCAGAATGTATGAAACGATACTTCATTCATATCTTACCTGTTGGTTTGAGCCACAAACTTATGCAGCATATTCTTAAAACAATAAACACTTAACAATTTGAAAATTTCACTGTTTTTTGACTGATTAAAAATGATAATTTACAAAACATAAAATTTTTAATTTCATATAAATGCTCAGCTATAAAGCTAGTAAAATTTGTTAGCATTTTCAAGTCAAAAGTATTTTGTAATTCAGAAATATTCTATAAAAGTTTGAAATTGATTGTAATTCAGAATATTTTTGCATTCCTTTTGAATTTATTAACACTTGAGAACACTAGGAATTTTATAAACAACTTTGCTGATTTTTATACGATCTTAAAACATTAATCTTCCCAATTCTATCCCGCCTAATTTCTCGTTTAAAACGTTAATCAAATGAAATTGGAAAAAATTGTTCTTACTAAATTGAAAGCAACTTAAAATGAGCGGGACAAAATAAATCGAATGTCGAAGTTTTTGGGAAATCAGATTAATACAAAAAATATATTCCGAAAAATCCGATAAATTGCAATATGAATTTCATTTAAGGCAGATCAGCCTTTTTAATTCTAATAATATATCTCACTTTATTTTCTTGGAGACATTTCAAATAGAGAAACATTGTCAACATTCATTTCATTCATAAAAAGCAACAACTGTTTTTGTTTTAATGTTTAATAAAATTTAGCTTAATTAATAGTTTATATGAATGCTTCACAAAGTTTCTCTAATTGTTAACGTAGTAGATGAGTCAAAGAATCTGTCAGGTTTTGAAAGTTATATAGCAAAAAAAATTTTCATATTACGCGCGCATTTCATCTTTTGCTTTGAAATTCCTACCTTGTTCGTCCAACGATGAAAGCCAAAGTTCTTCTAAGTGTATTGTTTGCAAGCATAGATCGTTCACTTTACAACTACTACTTTCATGTCACAATTTAAATAATACTTTATCACTAATTCACATACAACAATATTTATACTTGATGCACTTTTACACATTTTAGGTTTACTTTTCTTTACACTACATTCACATGATATAACTTGCATAATATAAGAGCGAATGGAGAGAGTATAGAGCAAAAGACAAAATGTTCTCAAAACATGACATTCTTTTCTTTGACAAATCGTACGTTTTTCATATAAATTTTATGATAAATGGAAAATTTGAAACTAACCTTGAGCTTCCGTTGCCGATTGATCACCTTCAGTTGCATATGTTTCACTAAATCCAGATACGCCAGCCTTGTTGTCATCGCCTTCCGTGAAATACGATTCCTCATATTTCTCTTCGCCATAAGTCACATCCTCAACATATTGGTTATCATCGTCCTGTTCAGTCTCAATTTCTTGTGTGTCTTCAACATATTCCGGTTCAGTTTTAGGATTCAATGAAGTCGTTTCAATTGGCAAGTCAATGAATTCTGTCGTTTCCTTAAGTTGCTGGGGTGTCACAATTTCATGGTCAGGTGCATCGAGTGGATCGGGCGTATCTTGACTGAGTTGCGTCTTAATTCGTTTTGGTGCAGATGTAGGAATCGATTGACGAGCAATTCGCTTAGCTGTTTGATTTTGTACTAATGTAACGGTTTGTTTCTCATCACTACTTTCTTCAGATTCAATTTTGAAAGCTTGAGGACGATTGCTGACACTACGAACTGTACCGCGTGCACGAATCGATGCTGTATCTGGCAAAGGCGTTGATGTAATTACTTCTTTGGTAGGTGATGAGGATCCAGTTGCCGTCACTGCTTCATTCTGTGCAAACAAATAGAAATGATTCGTTAATAACTAGTTATAATTGAATGTGTTTTGTGCTACTTACAGATTCTGTGAGCCCTTTTATTTGTAGTGCTTCTGCTGTGCTAATAAATGCAGGTAATGCTTCTTGTCGAACATTAACTTCTCCACAATACATAAATTGTATTAAGTCTTTTAGTGCTGATGAGCTAACGTCTTTTAGGAAAACGAAAGCGTGCTGATTTGCTGGCATTTGCGTAAACATTTTGCGAAAATATGGAGAACATACTGATAAGACGAGCCGATGAGCTTTAACCAATTGTCCCTCGGCTGCTAAAGTTACATCAACGAGATCACCCCGGCATAATGATTCATGAAATCCAGCCGATAGATTTGTATTAAAATTATTCCAACATAACGAGAATTGTTCTTCGTCCGCCATTTTTGCAGGGGACGCTTTCTATCCTTGACAACTTCTCTTTTAAACTGCTTTTATGTAGCCTCTGTTGAGATAATAATAAAATGATAATTGAGTTTTCTATAATGTGGGTTATACTAATACAGTCAAATAAAGCATAAGGAGCGTAACGGTCGAATTTCATGTATACACAAACACACAGAAGAATGAATCTGCTGTAATAAGCTATTTTTCGAAAATAACATTGAGTGTATATAGAAAATGTATAAAACTGAACGAAGATACATAAATATTCGATTCGGCATTTTTCGGTTTACATAAACTAGCTCTATTCGACGACGCAAGCGTATGTACGTAAGCGTCACTTTAATACAAATACTATTCTCTTTATAAGTCTGTCATAACAGATAATCCTTAATTAAAATTAATAGTTTTCTATCCATAATAGATCAATTAAGTTAAGGAAATTGATTTAAATTTAAAAATTGTTATGCATACAACATATCGAAATTATTAGTCGAGAGCGTCATGTTTAACGAGCATCAAGCTAGTTTTTGCTAGAAATTTTCACAAATTCCGAAAAATCGATAATTTTTCAAAAATCTCTTAAATTGGCATCGAATTATGTTCTATTGCAACAGAAAAGCAAAATTATGCCATAAAAACTTAATAAAAGTAAATAATAAGCATTAAAGCTTATGAAATTCCTAGAACCGACGCTCATTCAAAATCTGACGCCATTTTTTTCACTATACTTTAAACTGCTTTATTTCTGCGAATTCCATGTTTTTTGTAATAATTTTTACATCAAAATGATTCTCTTACCTTTATCTACAATTCTAATGTAGTTTAATTAACTTCACTTTAATTAATTTCACTGACTTTTATTTTTTTTACGGAGTGATGCGCACTCACGTCTTACTTCTTTGAAATTACTTCGTTAAATGAGAAATTTTCGACGTCTTTCAATTATTTCGATAAGTGTGTCATTGACATGGATTGTTTTTATGTCGAAAAGTTTTTAAAGCTATTATTATTGCTCTTACCTAATAGTTTATCAAGTAAACATTGACTTTTAATGTTTTGAAACGTAATAAAAAGTAATTAAAGTAGATTTAATTGAAAAAACATAAATACTAGCTTAACAATTGTTTAGATGATTACTACAAATCATTTTTTGTGTGGATCAAGATCTTTTCAAAAAGTATTAAACCGTTGTGGATTTTTAACAACCCAATTCGTTAAAATCAGTATGTAAGCTGACAATAAAATAATATTATTAAGTTTATATTTCTATAATGATTTGCAAGGTGAACTTTGATGCTCTCAATCAATCCTTTTATCACAATAATTTTCATGTACAGTAATATTATCAATAGAGGAAGAACTTGCAATGAACTCCATGTCATGGACAATAAATTCTGTGAAGGAATTCTGATTCAAGGATCAAATAAAATGAGCTGAATAAAAGCGCAAAAATATGTTTTCTCGGGCAATAAAAAACATATGCGACATTTAGTGCTTCTTTTTCGTCTAGTCAAACATTATCATCATTTTAACCTTGTACTGATTAACACAAAAAAGGAATCTTATGCGATTTCATTCCAATAATAATCTATTTTTAAGAGACAATGAATGAGAGTGGAAGATAAGAATTATTCTATGGGGGGTTTGCTGCTGACTGACTAGCTTGCTTGCTTACTTGTTGTTTTGCTTGCTGTTGGAATTATTTGGGAAGGCACGACCTTTGCAACGTCGTTTCACTATAAATAACGATATTTTTACATGTGAATATATTTATTTTCAACAAATCATCTTTAAAGCTGGGAAAATCAATGTTTTAATTACTAGAGCTACAAATTCAATGTCATGAAAATATTTTACATTATCGCCTGAATGAAATGATGAGGCAGAATGAACAGTTTTCTGTAAACTAATCAAATCGGTAAGGATCAATGCACTAAAATGTGATCTACTGATATCATAAATATTTAAAATGTGCTGAGCAATGCCTTTATTGGTGCAAGTAATAATTATGCATGTGACAGAGATCAAGAATCATATTTCTAGCACATATCCTTGATTTTATTCCTTGGACGCTGATCATGCTACGATTTTCAGCTGTTTATGCTCCTTGTCTAGTAAAACTGAGATTGCACGAGACTTTATGGACATAAACAATAATCCTATGTAATAAATGAATGCTTGACAAATGTCTTGTTATAATTATAATGTATACTGACGAAAATAAGATGTGATAAGGAATATTGTTGAAAAGGAATATAATATTTTTGTATTCAATATAATTCATCTCCTCTCATTTCGCACTAGTCATTCGTTTAAGAGACTTTCGCGAAGTAACAACTTGATTTCCTTTAACTGTGTGACAACTTTTTTTTTGAAAGTTCTTAAATTTATTTATTAATAAACGCGTAGATCATAATTAATATTATTTCTAGGTAATTATTTTGCTTTTTAAATAATTTTTATTAATGTTAATAATGTGTGTTGATTAATCTACAAAAATATTGTGACTATAAATTGTGAATAAGTAGGTGCATGAGTCAGAAAATTTAACGGAAATGTTTCAAAACCTTACAAATTCTTCTGAGTTTTCAACAGCTTCATCATGATTTGTAGGGTTCTAGAACGTTTCCATTAACAGATACTTATAAGTAAAAACGTAAAATTTGAGAATATGAATGGGATGATACATCAGCTCATAAATCGCGTGTTAGAGTTCAACAGAAACGGAATTAGATTATTTAAATTTCCTTCAGATGCTTGAATTGATAATTTTGATAACAAATACTGTTTTTCTGTTGTATCATTCATACTTTTTTTATTGCAGTAAATTCTTCATCAGTTACTGTTGAATGACCATAATTAGTCTTAATAATTGTAAATGTTGGAATTTTAGAAACTTCCAAAAAATTTGTACAGTTATAAGCCACTGGATCTTTTGATCTTTATATTCCATTAATAGTATAAAAACAAATTTTAAGCAACGACATTTGATAAGCACAACTGCGCTTTTCTGCAAACTGTACACAAATACGAAAAGGTATAATGGAAGTAGTATAAATACAGCGCTTTAGACTTATTCGCTAGCTCTTTTCCTAAAATTCGTAAGAGAAGCATCGTAAAAAATAAAATTAAATAAATTACTTAAAGATTGTGATTAAATTGCCATAAACACATTGGAAATATTGATATAGAAATCATAAGTTCTGTAATTAGAAGGAATTATATTCAAAATCCCATTTTTTCTATAGAAAAATTGGAAGTGAAAATTTTCATCGACTGAAAGGAACTGAAGGAAAAATATTGAAAATGCCCGAGACTACAAATGGATACACAAACGGAAATCACCAAATTCACAATGGATATGAGTTGGAGGACAATTCATCGTTCTTATTTACCAGTGAATCGGTCGGTGAAGGACATCCAGGCAAGTATTTCATAATCAGTCAAACTTATGTTGTGATTTTAAAAGGAAGAGACGTAATTAAAGTTCTTTTTATTTTATTTGATTAAATGATGAAGTCACTGTGTGACCTTAAAGTTATCACAAATCTATAATTTCTTTGACATTCTGCGTATCAATTATATTATATTGACAATATTCATTTAATATTTATTTTTTTAATCGGCTATTTACTGTGTCACTTACGCAGCACAGACGAATTTTTTTTCCTATTAACATGTGCTTTTTCAATAGTAATCCTTCATGGCACATGGTTTTTCGTATGATAATATGAAATAAAGTTCTCGTACTGATAAGGAACTCTTCAAATAATGTCTCAAATCTTCTAATCAGATTCAATGCTATAGTCTACGTCAACATATAATTTTAATTTCCTAATTTTTCATTCTTAGACCCATAAAATGCTCAATATTCTAATAATAACCCCCATTTCATGTATACAGCTCGCGAAAACGATATAGTTTCTTGCATCACATTTATTTCGTTTTGTATGTCGCGGAGATGTATTTATAGATTAATACTTTTATTTTCTGCATTTCAGCAATTTGCTACCTTTAAAATTCCTTTTCCTATATAAACATATGTATATACGCGCAAAGATCCATAATATAGACACAACAGAGATATTAATAACATCCCGTCTTGTTGATAAACATTTTTTTTCTGTTTGTCTTTTAATTTCTGTCTCTTCTCTTCCTTTATATTACTGATTTTTGATTGCTGTTATCATATATACTTATAATGTTATTCAAATCTTTATAGACAAAATGTGCGATCAAATCTCAGATGCCGTCTTAGACGCTCATCTCAGACAAGATCCAAATGCTAAAGTTGCATGTGGTACGTATTATATTAATAAAAGAGATGAAAATAATACATTCAATGTAAATAAATCATGATGATCAATTTATTGTTTTGGCATTTTCTAGAAACGGTCAGTAAAACTGGAATGATTCTTTTGTGTGGCGAAATCACATCGAAAGGATTTGTTGATTATCAAAGAATTGTACGTGAGACTGTTAAACACATTGGATACGATGACTCTTCAAAAGGTAAGTGACAATATTAATTTATATGTCTCTCCTTTCACAAAAATAAAAAGATCAGAAAACTATAGAAATTCGAGTTAATGTTATTAACGTAAAAACCCACTAAACAATAGGATTTGATTGGAAGACTTTGAACTTGTTAGTTGCACTTGAACAACAAAGTCCAGATATCGCTCAAGGTGTTCACATAGATCGCGAAGAAGACGATGTTGGTGCTGGCGATCAGGTAGATGGTTTTTTCAAACAATTATGACTTTTGTGCCGTCTATGAAACCGTCCATGTGCAGCAAGCTAATTCTAATTTTTTTTCTCATATTCGCATAAACATTACATTTAATTATTACGTGTTTAAAGACATAAAAATAAGTCAATCGACGTCATTCGAGAATGATTTCATTTCAAAAATGGGTTATCATGATAGTAATTAGTGTCGAAATGAAAGTATGAAATAGCTACTGGGGATTTTTACTGAGCAAGCAAGCATTAATTATAAGAAAATTATCTAACAAGCATGAACTATAAGGAAATACTTGGTTAACCTTTTTTTTCAAAATTTATAGACACCAATCCTGACTGAAGTTCCTTCATCAAATTTATTTTAATCTTCATTTTTTACCTTTTTAAATTTTACTTTTTCAAGGTTTTGATTATAAAACATGTAGTGTTATGGTCGTCATTGACCAACAAAGCCCAAATATTGCCGATGGTGTGCATGTAAATCGCCTTGCTGAAGACATTGGAGCTGGCGATCAGGTATTTTTGCATGATTATACATTCTTTTTATCGAATCATATTTCATAAAATATTTGGAAAAATTGCATGATAAGAACAAAATAAATAAATTGAATCTAACACTTCATAAAATATTGCATGCAATAGACATAATTAAAAAGTTTTGTGTGACAATATTGAAATGCAACCGTTATTCATTCTGGATCAAATTTCTACATTCTATTGTTTATATAGGGTTTGATGTTCGGATATGCCACAGATGAAACAGAAGAATGTATGCCACTCACAGTCGTTTTGGCACACAAATTGAATATAAAAATTGCCGAATTACGAAGATCTGGCGTTTTAACATGGATCTGGCCAGATTCAAAGACACAGGTAAGACTACTTTATTATCCAGTTTAATGTCAATATAACTTGAAACCTCCGTGATGTTAAAAAATACATTCGAATATTTGCTGATTCATAAGAATGATTAGACAACTTAATTTTACTGATTAATTCCACATTCAAAATATTCCTCCTTTTAAATTAGCATGTGATTAATAAATTCGCTTAATTGCTCTTACAGGTTACTTGTGAATATATTTTCCAAAACGGAGCTTGTATTCCACAGCGTGTCCACACAATTGTCGTTTCACTTCAACATTCAGAAAAGGTCACATTAGAGGAACTTCGTAAAGAAATTTTGGAGAAGGTTGTCAAAGTTGTTATTCCAGAAAAGTATTTGGATAGTGAGACAGTTGTACACATCAATCCATGCGGAAATTTCATAATTGGAGGTCCACAAGGTGATGCTGGATTAACAGGAAGAAAAATTATTGTCGATACATACGGTGGATGGGGAGCTCATGGTGGCGGTGCATTTTCAGGAAAGGACTTTACAAAAGTCGATAGATCTGCTGCTTATGCTGCTCGTTGGGTCGCAAAGTCACTTGTTAAAGGTGGCGTTTGTAGACGTTGCTTGGTTCAAGTCGCTTATGCTATTGGAATTGCTGAGCCACTTTCAATTACAGTCATGGACTATGGAACATCAAAATATACACAAAAACAATTGTTGGCTATTGTCAAAAAGAACTTTGACTTGAGACCTGGCAAAATTGTCAAGTATGCCTTTTTTATCGCATTTATCTGTGAAATGAGATCTAATCAGTTGAACTTTGTTTATTTTTACAGTGATTTGAACTTGCGCACACCATTTTACCAACAGACAAGCACATATGGACATTTTGGACGTGAAGGATTCCCATGGGAAAAACCAAAACAATTGATTGTTGATTGACTACCAAATTCTGATAAAATTTTTGACAATGATGAAAATCCAAGTTGCACTAAAAGAGTTAAGTTAGCATAAGTACGTCATTAAGAAAAAAGTCTTTAAAAAAATTTCCCTTTAAAAGTTGATAAAAAAAAATATCCTTAAAAATTTAAGAATATCTCTCACAAAAAAAAGAGTTGTAGACGGTTAAATTCAGTTTCTCAAAAGACTTTTGAACTTTTGATTTTTTATACTCTATAGAAGAATTTATGGAATTTTGAACATTTTTCTTTCTATTTCACTCTACGATGGCTTTTTTAGAATGACTAGTTTTATAATTATTGTTTTTTGGAACATAAGTAAATGGATAAATAATCTTAGCAGCTTAATGAGATAATTCATAACAAATTATAATAATATTATTGATACACAAGAGAAGAAAAAAAAAATCCTTAAAAAAACCAGTTACGAGGAATGTGGTAATTCTAGAATAATTTCGCTGAATCACGGCATTTTGGTATAATTTAATGAACATCTTTAAATGTATTCTTGATAAATCTTGAAAAAGAATCACTTTACCGAAGTGTCGCAATACTTTCTTTCATATTCTTTGAGTCAGTAAAATTAATGTTTTGTGAATATGCATTATTGAATCTTCACATGCCTTATTGTGGGTCTTAAAATTAACAATTTCTGAAATTAATTCTGAAAATCTTGACTTTAGGACGACGGCATTGAAATTTTCCCAAATTCACTGACCACGTTATTTGTAAAGAAAGTCTTGTGTTGTGTCTCTGACGAAAAAATGGAAAAGAGCGGTGTCAGAAACACACCGGTTCGCAGTTATTCGAAAAGTAGTGCTCGATTATGTTTTGGATGACGAGCAATTGATTAAATTGCATATAGTCGTAATTGTAGATGATTTAAAGCACTGCCTGATTTATCACTTCCTAAAAGTAATGTTGGAAACAAAAAAATGAATAAATTGTATTTGAATTTTATTACAAATATTGAATAAATGTAGAAACCTAATGTTGTCAATGATCAATAAATACCTATATAGATACAAAAATATAAATTATCTTGTCTTGTCATTTTTTTTCGTCCTGCATTAATCAGCATTGCTGCAGATTAAGGTTCTGAGAAAAATAATGACAGTGAGCATAAAAGAGAAATTTTAGAGAGAGAGTGAACATATGGAAAGATTGTATATGAATTTGAATTTTTGGAAGTCGTTACTGTTGTTATGTTTTCTTAGTACACTTCTTTACTATGGACGGAGCATGAATTTTTAAGAAGCATGTTGTTCTTCATGCGCACATTGACTTTTAAATGGAAATTTATGAGGTTTTTATATTTTGTTTTCGACGATGGCTAGCTGCATATTTTTATATATTTGAAATTTACGAAAAATTTAAGCAAAAATGCGGTCAAGGTTTAAGGTTAATTTTAAGGCTTACACTCTCACGAACTTTTGAATCTACGTTTTGACCAAAATTAACTCAGTAAATGGTTCTATTATTGAAAACCTTAATTGTCTACTGAAACATCTAGAAAAAAGGGACAGACTTTTATGGGCTAAATCCCATAAATAAGCTACCGGAAATTTCCGAAGTCTGCAAATCCAAAAATTTCAGGAAATATCCTAGGTTAAGTTTCCATACAGTCAAAATTTAAATACTGGAACCAAAATACAGTCAAGGAAATTTGAATAGATTTGAATAATCTGCATTGGAATTAAGGTACATTAAATCAATTATTGTTATGAGAAACTTTCAACTCATTTTTTTTGTCGACTCCAACTCATTGGTTTTAAATTTTAAGGTACTGTATTCCTTATGTGAGTCACACCCAAAGATATTTTCATGAAGCGCTTCATCGTATATCCTCACATTACCATCCATACGAGTACTAAATCTCTGTTTATAAAACTACTATGTATAATGTTTCTCTTATTTATATTTATTTCAAATGTTGAGAGTGAAAGGCTTAAAGTGATTTAGCAGCAGCAGAAAAAAAATGATTTGTGCAAATTATTAGAAGCTCTAACATAAAACATAAATTAAAGTATATGGGGCAGTTGGATTAATGAGAATGTATCAAATTAGGAAATTGTGCAATTTATTTATTTTCTGGATATTGATTGTGTGTGAATTTGTTAACATAAATGGAATATCAATAGATCACTCAAGGTTTCATTGCAATCACCAGCACCCGAAAGCTCATGAGGCATGTATTGAATATGATTTTTAATTTTTTTTTTTGTGAAATTTCTTGTGCATTTGCAACTTTTTTCATTGTGGACTATTTTATTTCAATCACATCTATGTGTCCACTTATTGGCTTACGAAATGTGAAGTGTATGTGCTATTCAGTGAATTTAAAATTGTAGTGTCTTGCGAATATAAAAAAGCATAAAGATGGATAATATTGACAAAGTAGACTCTTAAGGCATGACTTAATAATCCGAAACGTAAAAAACAATAAACGTATGACAGAGAGTAGTTAGCAATCATATATCATTCATGCATATCTATTTCATACATGAGCCCAATTTCCATATTTAATAGATGTGTAAAGAAGTATATAAATATTGGATATTATGCAACTTTCATATATCTTTGGGTATTGTTATTATATATGTAAACAAAAGCACTACTGATTACTTTTTGGCTAAAGCGGTCAGTTCACGACAACGTAAGGCAGTGGTTCACAAACTTTATGTCTACTTAACATTTCATGACAAAGCAGAAGATTTTGGGAAAATAGAAGTGCATAGTTTGAGAAACACTGACGAAAGATATGATCGAATGAATAGACGATAATAAAAAGGTGAAAAAAATGTTTAATGTGCGTCTGAGGACAGTCAAGACGTGATTTGTATAATTTTGAAAATTTGCATAATTATTTAACAGCTTTTTATTATGAATTTCATAATGAAAAATCTGATTGATAGCCCCGAAGCATCTTCAATATTGAAATAATTCAATATAACATAACATCACCGTGATCACCGTTTATTTTCACTTTCCTTCCTTCTTTTCATACCTCCATCTGTCTTTCGACTTGTTTTCGCCAATTGTTGATTAGAAAAGAAATAAGAAAAAAAAAATCATTAATGACAATAAGGCATGAATTGTGTTCAGCTTGCTGGAAGAACTTTTTTTTTACTTTTTCGAGAAAAGTGAAATCGTGAATTGAATTTACAATTTTTTTTTATATCTCATTTCTTAAAAATAAAAATTAACAAATATAAACTGCATAGCGCGAACTAATTATATTACGCCACACATTTTTTAAGAGAAATAAAATAATACAAAAAAGATTTCAAATTATTATCATGTTTAACAAGCTTTCGCTTAGCGAGGATACGGTAGCACGATATGAATCATGCAGACAATTTAATGCTCTTATGAATCAATGGAAAAACATTATTTGCACAAGTTGGAAAGTCATCTATTTATTGGGTGCTTATATTATCGGATGAGCGTGACTGACGACTTTCTTTGAACATTTTTTGCGGCTTAAAGTATGAAAAATCAGCTTAATCAAGATTTATTTACTTATGAGCTAATACTTATCTACTACAAAAGCATTTACCTAGGGGGCCGTTCACTTATTACGTTCGCATTTTAGGGGGGAGGGGGGGTTTGAAAAATTTGTAACAAAATGTAACATAGGGGGGGGGGGGGGGGTCAAGAAGTATGTAACGTTCTTACTGTCGTCTGTCTTTTAAAAAAAAGTTCGCGAAAAAAATATGTTTACAAATTCACACCAAAAACATTTTTTTAAAATTTCCAACTTTTTAATGAAAATTTAAATGTTCTTAATAACTCCCTATAAAAAATTATCAAAATAAAATAAATTATAAACGTTCAGGGGGGGGGGGGGGGGTGTTGTGAGTTGTAACATATTGTAACAAAGGGGAGAGGGGGGATGAAAAAAAGTCGGTTTTTTGCGTAACGTAATAAGTGAACAGCCCCTAGATGTTAATTCTGTAGGAATGAAGCTATTGCATATCAAGGAATTAATCTTTTGACTTAATTAAATTCGATCAGTATCAATCAAAAGCATTCAACTAAGAATTTTAATGCAATCATTTTTATCCCTTCCTTTATTGGCTAGCTTTTTGAAATGCTATGGTTATAGGAATCTTAAAGATTTGGCGGGAAACTAGATTTCCCAAAAGTAATGTTTTAGCTCAATTTTAATTGAAAGAATTCTAGTTGTGACTGGAACTGATAACATTCCTAAGAAAGCCTTAGATTGGGGAATTGAAGACAATATTGTAGGCACAGTATTGAAATTCTTGTGGAACATAGTTTTAAGGTTAGGTTCTTAAACAGCGTGCAGCGTCATTAAAGTTTTCTAATTTGTAGAATTTTATTATAAGTCAAATTTTACTACTCATGAACTTAAACATGAGATTGTGTCACAACCCTCAAAAATTAGGTCTTAAAAGTTTTGTTCTAGTTTTTCCCGGTCATACATTCTAACATTGTCCTATATTCGCCATCCAGCTATCAACATTTTTGCCTTTTAAATCCTAGATAACATACTTTCTGGTCATAAAATTCCTTACATAAAGTTTTCAAGGATAACATCAAATGAAGCTTGTTTTACAACTTCCATAAATTCATTAGAAGCAATGCATATTCTTATCTGAATTGTAAAAATGCTGGCACCCACACCAGAACACAACTTTCACTGCCTACAGTAGTTTTCAATTTTGATTAAATTTCCATTGAAAATGCAATTGTCAAACCTAATTTCTATTTTTGTCACAGACAATTGAGTTTAGGAATTTGTGATTTCTATAAAATGCTTTGGAAAAGTGCTGCAGGTAAATTCTGCTTCCTATTGAAACTACCGGTTACTAGTGAAATAAAAATGTCCAATTTTATTTTTTTTTGTTTTTCAAGTGACTCTCCTTCACGACTTTATGGACTGTCCACAAAGTATATAAAAATTACAAATGTTTGACAAACCTATTTATTGATTAAATTAAGCTAAACCACCAATTTTCATACTCATCATCAGCATAACTGTCTCGGAAAAATTAAAGTATAAAACACAGATAGATCCGAATCCGTCATCGATTAAACATTAAACGAGCCATAAAGAAATCATAAAAAAATGAATAAATTACAACACTTTTTTGTGAAAATTGACCTAGCAAAGCCGTGAAAACAAAAGATTGCGGTACAAAAGAATGTTTCTGTGACTATGACACATAATTTAGACAACCTTGAACTACATTATTAAGTTTATGCAAAGCCATGCAAAGAGTCTTTTAAAAAAATTTCTCATTATGAAGAGATTCGACAATAATTCACGAAATGAACATTGTTGACGCCTTCGCGATTGTATGCAGTCATTAATAAAGAAATGTGAATAAAACTTCTAAGAAATAACAAGTTTCTCAATAGCAATAAAGCAGCAGCAGTAACAGTCAAGTTTAGAAAGGAAAAGTTGAAAGCAGACGAAACAAAAAAAATATTTACAAGCATACATGCTGCATAGAAGTCTTGTTTTATAATGCAACTATTGAATCTTTTATTTAGAAAGTATATTAATAGGTCAATTATATTCAAGACTTATTGCTTAGTGTCATTCACTTTTATCAATTCACTTTTACTTGCCACAAGTCGAGTAAGTTGCCATAACTCTTCCTTTGTGAGTTAATAATGTGCAACAATCTGTTTCATGGCCGTTCATTGATATTGTAAATAGGAAGTACGATTATGGAAATTTCTATTTTGATTGAGGAAAGATAAGTGCATTACTTAGCATAAGTCTGACCTCATTTCAAAAGATTTTATAGCAATCTTAGCGGGCTGGGCTTAAAGGCACAATTGGTCTTTAATAAATCCATTTTTGCTACGGTGACAAAGAATTGCAACATTAAAAATAAAGAAAAAAAACCATTCATGTGCCTTGAGATTTGGATACTGAGCATTTGAGTAATATTTTGACATTTTTACATAAAGCACTGCTTTTATCCATTTTTATCTTGAAAAACAATGGAAGAAAACATTAGGTACAAGAAATAAGATCAAATCTATGCTTATGAATTACACTATATTCCTTAAAGTCACGACTTATGATGCTGATTTTTAGCCCATCTTAACAAATGTTAATTGGAATTTTCATGCACAATGTCGCGGATACTATTATATGTGCTAATCGACTCATTTGATGTTTCATGACATTATTACATTGAGTTCCGAATGATGTTACTTAATTGGTTTATTTATATATTTTGTCGATTTGCGAAATGTTTGTGGTTTATTAATTTTCAATGCTACAGCTAGCTTAATAGAACATCAAACCACATCATTGAAATTGAAGGCAAGCTGTCATTTTAATTTTAAACTGTAACGGAACTTTCAAATTTGAAATTATTTTGAGGCGAATTCAAAATTGATCATCTTGGAAATTAATTTGAATCTTTAAGAACCGTTAAGTTCATAAATATTTTTACTGGTTCTAAGCTTATTGTAGATCACGTTTTAATGCGTTTCCATCATCATTAGACACATACATTGCTTACAAAACCAACAGAAATATTGTTATTTTTTATTCTCTTAATAATGATGGAAGGTGAACTTTGGATTTTCCTTCATATACATTTTAAAGTAATTTTGTTGCCTCTCTATTGTGTCATGCCTTATTTTTATATTTGCAAAAAATAAAGCTACAATAAAGAACTCTTGAAATCAAGATTTTGCATGAGATTATTATTATGACAGCGTTAATAACTTCTTCTTAATTTACCCATTCAGGTGATTCATGGTGCCAGCTTAGGTGAACCGGAACATATCATAAGAAAGCGAAGTATTGATCAGAAACTTCGAATATTGATGTTTTATGATGATTCCGTTTACAGGTAAATACACTCTGATATAATAATTATGAATTCAATTACGCAACTTATAGACCATTAAACGCATTCTAATTTACTTAAATCATTGTTGCTGCTCAAAAGTAGCGGAATTGGCGAAGAAACAAATTCATTTCTCTTTTTTTGTTTGATTTTATTTCATTTTACAGATTGGATGAGGAAAAATTTGCTTTAATAAATGTAAGTGAAGCATGTTGGATTTTGATTGAGCATTATGGGCGCTGGTCACTTATTAAGTTACGGAAAATTTTGATTTTCAATCCCCCTCCCCTCCCCATTATATTTTAATAGTCATGTTTAACAAAATCCCAGACCAACCCTTGTTTATCCCTATTAAAAATCAGACGTAATATGTGATCGACCCTATGTTAAATTGCTTATGATATAATGAATGGAAGTGAACATCAGACTTTCATTTTTCAATGTAAAATGCAAATAAAATTACTTACTGAATGTCTACATCTCCTATTAATTTAGAACACTATATTACCTGAAGCCGTAAGTTTCTGGGAGCAAGCTCTGTATGTTCGTGAAACTAAAGAGGCTATAAGACTGAATAGAAAGTGTGAAAGCACACAAGTCTTCATAAAAAATTCACTGACCCATTGCATAGATAGTTGCAAAGCCGTTACCATGTGTGGAGAAATTCAAGTTCCTGAAGATCATCTAGACGTTTGTCGTGTTTGTAATGCTACTGGTCAAAATTGCAGAACAGAAGAAAATTCACGAGCTGGCCCTGGAATCAGGTATGTGTGACTACATGCCTACCATTAAGATTTTTTATCATTAATCTCTTTAATTTTTACTTCCAATTTCACAGAAATGCTGATTTTGTGTTTTATGTTTCCGCACGTCAAACTGAAAGATGCCACAAAGGCTTAACAGTTGGATATGCAGGTAAGAAGAAGACACTAATTTCCATACAGTTACACGCTTATCATAATGGATTATTTAACAGCTCATTGTCAACAAGAGTCGTCTTTGGATCGTCCGATTGCAGGTCACGCGAATTTATGTCCAGATTCCATCAGCACTAAGCCACAAGAGCTTCAAACATTATTGAGCACAGTTAAGCATGAAATTTTACATGCTTTGGGATTTTCTGTTAGTCTTTATGCATTCTTTCGAGATGAGCATGGAAAGCCGCGAACACCAAGAAAGCCAGATACAGGAAAGCCTTATCTTAATGAGAAGTAGGTGTCATAATGTGTTTAAGTTTATTTAAGCAATTATTTGCGTGACATTTTCAAATAATATTTGCATATCCTTCATTTTACTATCCAAACAGACTTCAAATCCATCAATGGAGTAATGCGACAATCAGAAGAATATCGAGAGATGAATGGGAGGTCAAGGGTGGCAATATGAGGAAAAATATTGATATGATGGTGACACCTCGTGTTGTTCAGGAAGTGAGAAATCATTTCAATTGTTCATTATTGGAAGGTGCTGAGCTTGAAGATCAAGGTGGAGAAGGAACAGCATTGACTCACTGGGAGAAGCGAGTATTTGAAGCAGAAGCTATGAGTGGAACTCATTCTAGTCGACCAGTATTTTCTAGAATCACTTTAGCGTTAATGGAAGGTATGGCATATTAATACATAATAATGCTGCTCATTATTTAGTGAATAACTTGTATATGCTTTATTATAGACACTGGATGGTATAAAGCAAACTACGATATGGCATCGGAATTGAGTTGGGGCAAAAATCTTGGGTGCGACTTTGTAATGAAAAGCTGTAAATCATGGATTAAGTCACGACATAATAGGTAATGAAATTAGGATGATAAAGCTATTGTAATCGTTACAGATTAATTAATTTTTATTTTGTGTGTACTTTTAGTGGAGCCTCAATTCATCCATTCTGCTCAAAAGTCAAAGTATGTCCTTGAACTATTTCAAATGAATTCCTTCATTTAAACTTTTATTTCTGTCTATTCACAGCATGATCCATTACAAACGGAGTGTACGGACGATAGAAATTCTGTAGCTCTATGTAATTTGGTTAAACACGAGTATCCACTGCCAAAAGAATATCAAAATTTTGATAGCCTAACTCATGTTCATGATAACTTAGAATTTTATGGAGGAAGCGTCTCTCTTAGTGACTATTGTCCATACATACAAGGTGAATATTCTTAATTATGACAAATTGCATCATGAAACATTGTCCATTTATTTATAGAATTCACATGGCGCAGTAAGAATGTCGTTGTTCGCGGTTCACAATGCAAATTTCAGGAGAACAATCCAAATCCAGAGAAGAACTTTGCAATGGAAAGATATGGAACACATTCAAAATGTTTTGAGCACACAAACAAAATGTGGGAGGAAAGGTCATGCTTTCAGACGAGAGAATGGCAACATTTTGGATCAGGATGTTATTTATATGCTTGCAAAAATGGAAGAGTTCATATTCATGTTGGAAATTATACATTTGAATGTTTTAAACCTGGTCAAGAAATCGATATTAGAGTACATGAAGGTGGTTGGTTGAAGATGGGAGCTGTTGTGTGTCCTCCGTGTGAGGAATTGTGTGGAGATGAGTTTGCAAACAAAGGAGAAGAGTGCAAAGTTCCAGAAGAAGTACCTGCTCATCACTATTCTCCAAAAGATTCACTTAAATGCAGTTCTGCAGCCATTTTACCAAGTGTTTTAGTATTTTCTATAAGTTTTATTTTCATTAGGTCACAAGATTAGCTTTTTCTTTTTTTAAAGAATTTTATTCGAATTGCTTATTGATGTCTCGGGTTGATTGATGTAGCTTAAGATAGAATATTGAATAGTTTTGCAGCCAGTAACTACTCAAGTACACTTTGGATTAAGATTTGAAGGATGTTTAATGCAAATTAGCTTCACTGGATCTTGTATGTTCTGAGTAAACAAAGATTTTGATGATCCAGTGCAAGTTTGATCCATAATAACTGATAAGCATTGAATATCGATCAAATTTGTCTAAGATAAATATCCAGTAACTCAAAAAATATAAGCATTATAATCTATTAGAGAAAATAGAGTCAAATATGGAAAGGGGTAAAGGAAGGCAATTGCACAAAACAAAATTATGATTGCTTATGACACACTTTCATGCCGATTAGTATAAATAATATAATTCAATCAACTCGAGACTAAATCAAGCCATTCTATCAGTGTATTAACTTTAGTGCATTGTGATAATTTATTGTGTATCGTACACAAGTTGTATATAGCTATATTATATTCACATCTAGACATTCTTTTGCTACAAAAATTGTTCGATCTCCTAATTTCTATGATAAATGGTAATTTTTAACTGCCTGTAATTGAATCAATACTCACTAATATGAAAGAGAAACAAATTAAGGACAAATATTTGTGCCGGTATACCAAAAAAGAGAATATTTGATTGTTATTAATGAAAGATCACGTTGTTTTAATAAAGAAAAGTCATTCCAATGAGAAAATTATTTAAATAAATTAATTTAAAACCATCTTATTTTATTTTGCGGAGTTGATGTTGCGTGAAAATTACACCTTAATTTACAGCAGATTGTTCCACTGAGTTTAATTGTTGGAGATGAAAATTATCAGTTGTAAATTGGTCAAATTATTGTATGTCTGAGAATCAATTACGCCAATTCACACTTGGATTCATCAAGATTTGTCTAAAGTGGATCCTATATATCTGATTAGATATCTTTTGTATTAAAATAATTCAATTTGATTTAAGAAGGTTAAGTACATCCCACTCTTAGCAGGACGACGCTTTTTAAATATCTAATTTTATTCAGAAAATTGAATCTAAGTAATTTTGAGAATGCTTTACAGTCATTTGAAGTGTGCCTCTTAACAGATTATAAAGCAATTTGAATATTTATAGAATGATTGCATATCTTCCAGGGGTTCATTTGAAGTTGCTATAAAAATAAAAATAAGCTTTATCTTCCCCAGTTAGAAATATGGAACTTTGTACGATTTCCAATTGGCTTCAAATTTGCCAAACCAAAAAACCAAAAGATCCACAATGATTCAGATTCGGAAAAAATATTCAAAAATTCAAAAATGACATATTAATTAAACTACATCTTTTAAATGCCAGATTAAAGATCTTAACTTAAGGCATAATCAGTGAAAATATCTCCTTTCAATTTGATGTCTAACTCCAGAAATCTTTAATTTATTTTCAACAAAAATTTGTTTACATTTTGTATGTGAAAAAAAAACTTTGATTTTCTCTACTTTAAGTTGTTATTTCAATATCTTGCTAGCTGTTGTTAGATAAATTAAGCTTAGATCTGCATATTAAAACTACCAAATCAAAAGAAAACTGCTGATTAAGTCTTAAAAATGCAATTGAAATCTGAGTATTTTTACAAAACTTTAACTATTCAAAAGTTAAAAAGTCTTCCAAAGACCTCTCCGAAACCTATATAAATCAATTAATTAAGCTTAGATCTATCTCCCGTATTACTGAGGACATGCCGTTTGATGCCGTTTTCGAGATATTTGCGATCGAAGTCTACAAAAATTTTCATACAAAATTTGATCATGCACAATATTTTTTATAAACTTTTACAAACTTTTGGTAAAAAATCATGTTTATCCTTTATGTAAAGGACTGATTTTTTGAACAATGAACGAAAGCATTAGGTAGAAGATGCTAAAAGAATCAAATCAAGAGAAATTAACAAACATTTTCAATTTTCTAACGAGTCAGAAAAATATTGTGCACAAGGAACTGAATCATTGTGAGATCCAATATTAATATGCCAAAAGTTTTATCTCAGTTACTTTATTAACACCAAAAAGAAGTCACTTCTGTGCACCAGAGTTTTGTCATTTGTGTCGCTCGGAAAATATATAAGTGACCAGCCAAGATGAATAACTCATCACAGCAAATTTTGATGACTCTGAACGGCTCTGAACCATTTATCGTTTTACAATGAATCAGTGTCTTGCACAAAACGAGGTCTAAACAGATCTCCTTCAACTACAGAATACTATTCATGCACACTAATAAACACAAATATCATGAATCAGAGAGATTCACACATATTAAGCCACTGCTACTAAAAAGGACAGTATTAAACTCTAAAGATGAATTTTTTGTATCCATAATGAAGATTCTAATTGCCATTTAAAAACTTATTCATTGAGAATTTTAAAACAATGAATACAGTCGCTGTATAACATCTTACGGTTATGTTGATTCTCACATCTGCTTATTCTTTTAGATTTTTTAAGATCTGCGAAAATGAACATCTTTGCATTCTGTAAATGAGAATATTAACATTTGAGTAGTCGTTCAATATGCTGCTCAAGTTTTAGCGACGACTGGAAGTGGGTGTCTGCAGAATTTTGCAATTTTTGACATGTCGTAAGCTTAAGTATTGAAATTTCATGTTTTCGATGACGTAATTTAACAATTCCTGCTTTGACATAGCACCGATACATGCAGACAGTAAACGAACGAGTTAAGTGAATTTAGTGAGCATACATAGTCGTTATTTCTCGTTTGTAAGTAGAAAACTTTTTTGCATCATCTTTATCAAGATTGTAAAGCCGAGAAAAATGTGAAATTTACAATCGAATGCGTTTGATAACTAGTGTATCGGGTAGAAACCCAATGCGGATATATTCACACCGTACCATCAAAAGTCTTATCGATAGACCAAGATTTGCTCAGCATAAGTTTGAAGGGTGGGCGTGAAGTACAGCCGAGACCCATATCGACACAGTTCAAAAGTTATACCTAATTTATGTCATAATTATGTCAGCTACAAAAACACTTAGTTTGAATTTTGTCACCCTCGGGAACACTATGAACCAGTATAGCTGATTTTGGTCCAAATCTCGGCAATACTTCACACTTATTTGAACCACATTTTCTCGTAAATGTTAAAATATTATTAAAAAGTAATTAATCCTGAATTATGTCGCTATTTTGTCAAGTTTTTTAAGATAAAGAATTTGTTTTTTGGTTTCCACAGTGAAGAGTATGAACAAAATTCAGATGGGGTAGTCGAAATTTTAGATTTCGATTTTTTTGTAAGCTATGCATTACAAAAAGTAATATTGGTATGAGATTTATGCTAGAATTATGTCAATTCAAATAAAACATCCAAAAAAGTATCAATTTTCAATTTTGGACTAGGGGCGACCCTAGTCAAAATCAATTTTGTCACTTTTTTCTTCGAGGGTTTATACAAATGGATTGAAACTTTGCATAAATATTTAAGTGCTTAAAACAAATACAAATAAAACATATTAAAATTTTTTTGAGCAAAGAACCAAGTAGGAAATAAATTTTCAATTTTGGACTAGGGGTGACCCTAGTCAAAATCAATTTTGTCAATTTTTCTTCGAGGGTTTATACAAATGGATTGAAACTTTGCATATATATTTAAGTACTTAAAACAAATACAAATAAAACATATTAAAATTTTTTTGAGCAAAGAACCAAGCAGGAAATACATTTTCAATTTTGGACTAGGGGTGACCCTAGTCAAAATCAATTTTGTCACTTTTTTCTTCGAGGGTTTATACAAATAGATTGAAACTTTTCATAAATATTCTAATGCTTAAAATAAATACAAATAAAACATCCTAAAATTTTTTTGAGCAAAAAACCAAGAAGGAAATACATTTTCAATTTTGGACTAGGGGCGACCCTAGTCAAAATCAATTTTGTCACTTTTTTCTTCGAGGGAATATTTATGCAAAGTTTTAATCCATTTGGATAAACCCTCGAAGAAAAAAGTGACAAAATTGATTTTGACTAGGGTCGCCCCTAGTCAAAAATTGAAAATGTATTTCCTACTTGGTTCTTTGCTCAAAAAATTTTTTTCATCCAAAGTTTAATTTGAAAAATTAGCAAAGAAAGGAAAGTTTTTTGCTTTTTCTGAAGCAACGGCTGTTCCTACCTTGCCTTAAAAACAATAAAGCTCTTCTATAGAGCAGCACGGATCAAATGTAAAAAACTGGAAGTTTCTACAATGTCTCGTTATTGAGATTTCTTGCTGATTAACTTGCTTGTTTGCTTGCTTACAGAAAGCATATTTTGCGATTTTCACCAATTTGAAATCTGTTTTTTGCAAAAGATGTGAAATTCAAGGCACAAACTTTTCATCTCTGAACATTTTAAGCTATCTTGCTCCATATCCTCACAAAATTCTTAAAACTGATTTTTCAATCTGAACAAAACCAATAAATTCACACGTGAAAACGGTGTGAATATAAAAAATATTAAAAAATTTATTTCACTTATTGGAAAGTTTTCTCGTTTCTATTCTCAATTTTGCGTATAAATTGATTAAGTTATGTGTCATTTTAAGGATGTCACATGGAAAGTAGGGAAGTAGAAGATGACATGTCTACATTCCATAAAGGTTTGGCTCTTTGATGCTCATTTCTAAATTTTAATGGAAATATTTCTACAATGTATAATTAAATCTATACTGTCATATCCAGTGACCAAGACAAGATGTTTTCACTTTAGTCCATTTATTTTTTGCACTGTGAAATTGGCAAAATCATCATAAATGATGCATTCATATTCGAAATCTCTCCCTTACATCAATAACCTCTGAACCTCTCAACTTTTCTTCTCTCTTTCCTTTCATCAAATATCTCGGCCATACACTTATGATTACTGTAACGGAAATAATAATATGCAGAATATTTTTAATATATAGAAATTAAATGATATGAAAATATAATGAGATCTACACTTTTATTTGTAGCTTGCAAGCTTTCATTTGAAATTAAATGTTTTTTGTCACCGCAGTTTGTTCGATTTTGACACTTTATGCTGGAATTTTGCTATCAGATTGTTGATTTTATTTAAATTGAGGTTGATCTTAAAATTAAATTGTTCATTATTGAAATTTTAATAGAATTTATGGAAAATTAATTTTTAAACTTTGAGGTTATGAAATATTAATGCTAATTGTCATTTTTAAAGCATAGTTGTTTGAGTGGAATGTAATGTTTCGATTCATTTATAGGCGAATCTTCCAGTGTAAAAGATTTGTGGATACTTGAAGTCGCATTCATCTCTGTTGATATTATAATAGAATTTTTGACATTAGATTATATATTTGATGTCTTCAATGTTTATTATCTATTGAGAAGTCTCAAGATTGAGTCGCAGACTCTGTTGATAGCAGCTTGTGCCAATTTCATGTCAATTGAAATTATACTGTAAAGTATAAATACAATTTGATTGGCACTGCTTTGGTGTCAATAAAATCTAAGCCATTGCTCTAAACCATGGCAAAAACCTAACCCTTGCCATGTCTAACTTTCGTTATTGGGCTCGCATTTAACTTCGCTTATTTCATTCCAATCATTCAACATTCTCACTTGTTTACTTACTTTTTCGTGTGTAGCATGTGATGGATTTTTCTTAGTTTTTATTTCTTTCTATGAAGAAGTCACATTTTAAACAGAAATGGAATCACTCAGCCATAAATTTCAAATAAAAAGCTTCAATTGTGTACATACGTTGACAATTTATTTCTTATTCATTTCATTTCTAATTCTCATCATCATCTTTTTGTCTTCATCGGATGCGAACAAAGCGAAACGACTTTGTCATTGATGCTAACAAGTCAATTTGTAATCTAATGAAAGCGTTTAATTGTATAGATATGGAAGCAGCATAAAATAATGAGTGGCACTAAAAAATGAAAATTAAATCAGCTTTTTTTGAGAGAAAAGTTTCCAAAAAAATAGGGTCTGATGATTTTAATGATAAGTCTGTACAGTAGACTGGCTTCAATAATTAGGTGATATTTAATTGATTGCTGTAGACATAACATGATATTTCAATTGATTTTCTTTTAATTGTATGTATCTTTTTATTTTGACTGTAAAATGAGCAGCCACTGATTTACTACTAATGATATGTAATGTAAATTCTTTCAATACATTCCTTTTGTGTAATAAATGAAAGTGCTCATAAAGATTAAAATGAAACTTTCATTCGTCAAATATGTGACAAGTTCGGTATCATGCGTTCTAGAAATGAAAAACATGAGTCTTATAAGACATTTGATCTTGTTGTCACCCAATTAAATGGCGAAATAATTTAAAAGTAGGTGCGAACAGAAGTAATCGACGATAAAATTATCATCTTGTGGGATTTTGTTTTTACAATAGTCAAGAGGCTGGGAAGTGTAAGGAGATTTTAATGCATACTGTTTTATAGGATATTTTTGTGTATTGTGTGTAATACTTTTAAATGCAATTGCATTTTTGTTTAATGATGAATTTTTTACGAGCAACGGGGTTTTTGGAAGTTTAAAGTTTATCGTCCTTAAAATTCATCAATTTCTTTTTGTCAATACAAAGATTTTTTTCAGATGTCTCTTGTTACCAAACTGTTATATACTTAATCATAAAAAAATTTATTTTAGCTGTTCTTTTAGACATTAAGATCCAAATCTGCGCTTTAGGACTTTGCATGTATGTTCGATAGATTAATTAGTCATCATTAATGATTAATTGTAGCGCTTAAAGGTTTAGTAAAACACTGTTGCACAATTTAAGATGAATAGAGTGAAATTGAGTCAAGGTTCAGCAGACCTCCAATTCAAACCTAGAACTGTACAGTCCATTCATGTGGAATTTAAATCAAAATCACATTCCTGATTTTAACCTACAAAGAATGGCTGTGATCTTCATTTCCAAAAACATATGGTCGAAAATAGGTTAAGCAAAATAATTTTTGATGCTAAGTCATAAATCCATGATCGCTGTATTGGTATTGCATAATTAGGTACGAAAGATTCAGCTATTCCATAACCGAGCAACTTTAGCTCACAGAATAGAGCATTAAGTTCTTATTAAAACCAGTTGAATGTACATATATATTGGCTAAAGTGACGCACGTGTCTTGATTTTCAGGAGCTGATAATTTAGAGAGAGAATGAATTTGAAACTGTATGGAAACTTACATTCAAGAATATGTAACTCCAATCTAGTAATTAAATCAGGGTTGCGACGACAGGTACCTGTCACAGGTAAAGGTGACAGTTTCTGTCAAAAGATCACCTGTCTCAGGCCGTTACCTGTTCACAGGTCAAATTTTTTCGCCTATCACAGGTCTGACCTGTCAAAGGTTCTGCCTGTCACAGGCCGTTACCTGTTCACAGTCCAGATTTTTTCGCCTGTCACAGGTCTGACCTGTCAAAGGTTCTGCCTGTCACAGGCCGTTGCCTGTTCACAGGTTAATTTTTTTCTCCTGTCACAGGTCTGACCTGTCTAAGGTTCTAGCTGTCACAGGTCTCCACCTGTTGACAGGTCAAATTTTTCCACCTGTCGCAGCTCTGACCTGTCGTAGGCCTCACCTGTGACAGGTCGTAACCTGTTGACAGGTAGAAAAAATCTACCTGTCACAGGTTTGACCTGTCACCTGTCACAGGTCACCTTTCACTATCGAAATTTTATTCCTTTTGTGAAGTATAAAGATTTCATATAAAATTCGTCAATTTTTTTCTTCCTCAAGTCACTGGTTCAAATCTCACCGCAAGCAACTTTCTTTTTTTTTCTTTTTTATGATTTTTTTGATAAAATATTAAGTTTTATGATAAATTTTTCCATTTACATATTTTCTTTTTTCATTTTCCAAATTTTAACTTGTATTATAAGTTTTTTCCATACATTTTTATACAATTTTAACTTTTTGGGTCATAATTTGTACACTTTTAAGCTTAATAAGCTAAAATTTGACATAAAGGCTCAATTTCTAGACCTGGATGTTCTAAAATCGTAATCCTGGATCGTAATTTGTTATATATTTCGACTTTTTGAGGTCTCGAATGAGTAAGTCTATACTAGTTTTAATATTTTATGAACTTTTATGATCCAGGATTATGATTTTAGAACATCCAGATCTAGGAAAAGAGTTTATATGTCAAATTTTAGCTTATTAAACTTAAAAGTGTACAAATTATGACAAAAAAAGTTAAAATTGTATAAAAATGTATGGAAAAAACTTATAATACAAGTTAAATTTTGGAAAATGAAAAAAGAAAATATGAAAATGGAAAAATTTATCATAAAACTTAATATTTTATCAAAAAAGTTTAAAAAAAATCATAAAAAAGGAAAAAAAAAGAAAGTCGCTTGCGGTGAGATTTGAACCAGTGACTTGAGGAAGAAAAAAATTGACGAATTTTATATGAAATCTTTATACTTCACAAGAGGAATAAAACGTCGATAGCGAAAGGTGATCTGTGACAGGTGACAGGTCAAACCTGTGACAGGTAGATTTTTTCTACCTGTCAACAGGTTACGACCTGTCACAGGTGAGGCCTACGACAGGTCAGAGCTGCGACAGGTGGAAAAATTTGACCTGTCAACAGGTGGAGGCCTGTGACAGCTAGAACCTTAGACAGGTCAGACCTGTGACAGGAGAAAAAAATTGACCTGTGAACAGGCAACGGCCTGTGACAGGCAGAACCTTTGACAGGTCAGACCTGTGGCAGGCGAAAAAATCTGGACTGTGAACAGGTAACGGCCTGTGACAGGCAGAACCTTTGACAGGTCAGACCTGTGATAGGCGAAAAAATTTGACCTGTGAACAGGTAACGGTCTGTGACAGGTGGGCTGTTTTCGTTGACCTGTGACAGATCGCAACTCTGAATTAAATTTCGTTCCTTTTTATTCTCATTAATTCTTAAAAGGCTCACTGAATCAAAGCAGTTCGGAAGAGATTTGCATTAAAAGATTCTTAAAGATTTTAAAATTTATCCAGGATAAGGATATTGGGGTCGTTCACTTATGACGTCCATCAAAAAATTTGATTTTTAGACCCCCCTCCCCCCCTCTGTCAGAAAAATTCTATAGAAAAAAATTTCCATTGTTCGAACTTTCACAAAATCCTAGACCCCCCTAAATGTCGGACGTCATAAGTGAACGGCCCTTATAACACTTATAAAATAATGTTCTTCATCCATTTATCATTTAAGATGTCTCATGTGACTTGCAGATATTCCACTTAATTTTAGAGATTGTAAAGTTTTCATCTCACTATCAAATTTTTCTGTCCACTCATCCACTTAAAAAATTTAAATAATTGCCAAAAAAAAAAATATTACTTTCGCATGTTTTTCCTTTCATTTGTCCCCAAAAAAAAAATACATTTCCACGGCTTCGCTTCCGAAAAGAACAATTTCAACATGTTCAACAAATGAGAATTCATTAACCTCCTATTATTGGATAAGCCATTCATTGAATTCTGCGACAATCACGTATCTTTCATGTACATATTATTTTGTGCAAAAAGCGTGTGCATATAAGCCGGCTGTAATGTCTTTTGATACTTTTTTTTCGTCATGTGTAGCAAAAAGAAGCAATAACTATGTGAAGCTCTCCAATCTCTTCTCTCCACAAATTTTTACCAATAATATTTCCTGTTTAGTGCTGCATACATTTCTTTCTTGATGATAAAACATCGAGAGTATAGCAAAGCATCAGTATGATTTTGAACGTTGTTGGAGAAAGACGTAAAAGTTTACATCCAAAGAGTTAAGTGAAAACAGAAAGGCACAAACAGAAAGAAAAGAACTGACTCACAAAAAAAAATAAAATAAATAAATGTGAAGAAAAGTTTTAAAGTTAAGAGAAACAGACTTGATTAAATATTCAAAAGTCGTACAATCAAAAAAGAAAAGAAGGTGAATTGACCAATGGATATTTTATTTATTTCGTTTATAGTCGCGAATACTTTTGTAGAAAACTTCAAGCATTCACATCATGTGTATAAAAATTTGCATAGATTTAAGCTTTCGTTAACTGTTTCAAAGCTGAATACGAACAGCTGTAAAAAGCATCGCGAAAGAATTTTTCAAAAGAATTTAAGTTTAATGACCGACACACAACTTTCCATTTCTAAGTTGCGATAATTTTTTTTACAAGACCTATCATTACGACAGATGTGCGTTCAAAACTAGAATTGAGAAAGTTGTCTCTTCAAAGAATTATTAACCTCGTGCATTTCATTACTGTTAATGATAACCGGAATTACTTTCCATTTGTTACTGTTGTAAATACACCGCATCACGTAGACAACAGCAAGCAAGTGAAAAATCGTGAATTTGTTGTTTTCTCAAGGACATTGGTGAAAAATAAAGTGCGAGAGAGTGACTCAGTGCCCCACATATATGCTATTTCCTTAACAACCACGCCGTACAAGAGATTAAAAACATCATCATCATGAAAGTGAGAAATGTTTTTAAAAAAAATAAAGACTTACGTGAGAGAAGAGAAAAATTTATATATATGCGAAATGTGGGTCAATAAACTTTTTCTTTTTTTGAAGAATTTTATGATTTTTAAATACAAACTTTTTTTTACCTTAAAATCGACATTAACAGAGAAATATAACACGTAATCAATGAATTGTCGGCGCGTAAATGAGATTTATTTGTCTATCTATAGTTTATAGCTAATGCATCTGTAGATAGAAGATGAAAAGTTTCTCCAAATGTTTGAAGAATGAAGATATTATTATAAATGCGGTTGCAAGGCGTGGACGGTATGGGATAAAATTAGACTTACATTGGCTTCAATCTTTGAGATTTCAATATGAAATCACACAAGTAAGGAAGAAGCTTAGTTGAAAAGTAAAGATTTCCAAACTTCATAATTTAAGAACTAGCCTCTAAGAATATTTACCAACTTTAATGTCTCTAAGTTTTCAAATCTGCTTTACAAAGTGTTTTTATCTGTCTGGCTGAAGGGCCGTTTATTGACTTTTTAACTAGATTTAAGATCTACCCCGAATTTTCAAAAGTCGGTTAATCGAATATAAATCCTGCACAAAACAGACGTAACTCTAGAATGATGCTGGATTTGATTTAAGTCCAGCACCATGCTAGAATCACACTAGATTTCTATACCAACTTAATTAAGTTTTTTATAGCCTTCTAATACCCCCCAGAGAAAAGTTTGAGCACCTGACAACGACCCTAATTTAATAGCTAATATTTCCAGACTATATATTGCAAAATAAACAGCCTCGAGTTATCCTCAAATTGTTGCATATCCATAAAATCAAAACAATAAGTTTTGCAGTGTCTACACCTATTCTTAAACACAGTAAGTGCGGCCTTGCTTTTTATCCCATAGAAATCAATCATAAATTTATATTTGGTCAACTGTGTCTTCATTCTTTAAAAAAAATATTTTATTGGAGATTACTTGACAAAAAAAAGAGAGTCATAAAGTCCACGAATAATAATGGAAATGTATGTTGTTAGGTCAATAAGATGATTACCATAATATCATTTTTTTGTATCACATTACTTACTTTCAAAAAAATATAAATTTATGTTCCATCTGCAGACGACCATTCACTTGATGAATGTATTTATAAAGCTAGTTGAATTAAATTTCAAATTACTTGCTATTAATGAAACTCTGTTTTTGCGGACCACGTAGTTCAATAGTCAGTAGGATAAAACAAAAAAAAAAATCGAAATTTGTTTTTCTCAGCTTGCTTTCAAGTCTCATTTGATAGCATAATGAAGTGACCCAAATAGAATATTCAATTTCTAAATGATTGTTAATATTGTGTGCTGTTGACATTTTTTTATGAATCTCAAATCTATCCTAACATGCTATACATGAGTCATTCGATTATGATGTCTAATGCTTAGCAGAATAGTGGGTCTTGATCAGTCTATTGATTCATGATGATTATTGTTGACATTAAGGAACACGTTATTAGCAAACTATGCATTACGGCTGGATTATAAAAATATGGAATAATGGCATATCCAGGAAACAATGGATAGACTGTAAATATCATAATTTACAGATTTAAAATATGCAATTAGGCTGTGTGGAATTTGTGGGAGAGTGCCTTATGAATGTGTAGAAAATGAGTCCATCATAAAAACATTTTATTTCATCTTGTGCTGGAATCTCTTTTGATGAATTTTTTTAATTCCATCGGTATGCTGGTTTCAAAGTCATTTCTCTCACTTTTGAATGTTGTTTTTCTTTAATCGAAATTTCGAAGAAGAACTTAAGTTCCGTATATCCAATAGCCTCTTGAATGTTTTTTTTATCTGCATTTGTGTCTTGCTTCATAAGATGATCTATTGAATGAACGAATAAAATAAGAAATGTAAAATTTTAGAAACTTTTCGGGACTTTTTTTTCTGGCGAAATTTAAATTATAGACTTGGACTTTGAATGAAGATGGCTTTAAAGTTTCTCTTAGTATGAATTTCTAATTTTGACTATCCTAAACAGGGATCGCCAATCTATTGAATCTAGTCAATGACGGTGCTGTTCCGGTTCTGTTTACTAGCTTTATGTTTGTAGTTTTTTTTAAGTCTTTGATCAAGAGATATTTTCGTGTACGGGATTGATTCCTATAAAATTTTACACATTATATTGAAAGCATCAGTTATTTCAAGATCAACATCTTCTTAAGTCAAGTCTAAAGCCATGGGAAAATAAAATATTATACCTTGAACTTGAAAATCATCACCCAGTAAGCACTCCCAAAAACATTCCAGTGACCACACCCAGCACGAAAACAGTATGCATTCTGCTGCTCTTCTGTATCTCTCTTAGCGCCCATCCATCATGTTAACCAGTAAAAATTAACCAATTTCCTGCTGGAAACTTGATGATCCACAAAGATATCTCCTATAAAAGCGTTAAAGATTGCCATAAAGTATCTCAAGATGACTTCAATGACTAATAAATTCAACAATTTTGACAATGTCCGAAAACATTTCACGAGAAGACTTTCTACAAACCATCGAGTCATGGAAATGCTTGAATCTTTTAAGAAATTGTGAAATCTAGTTGTACAAACCATAAATATACACATGTATGCAGCTATTTTGTGAAAATCTAAACATTAGTGAAAACACTTTAATTAATTAATTAATTGAGTATAAAAATTCTTTTTACTTAACACAGGAAGCTCGCCTAATATCGCTTGTTGGAATTCAAAAGCACTAATTAAAGACGTCATACATAGACACACACGACGATCAAGTGAGTGAATGTGCAGAAAGAAAATTAAATAGAATTAAAGCTTGAGTGAGACAAAAAGAAAATAAATGATTAATTAGAAACGTCGAGGCAGTCACACAAGCAGTGTTTTGCTATGTAAACATAAGACGAGAAAAGTGACAAGAATCAAAAGAAATTAAAAAAGTGATAAAATAATAATAAAGAAATCTCGTCACATCACAAAAAGGTGTTAAATTATGAAAATGAGAAACTTAAAGTGTGCAGTTCTTGCAATTGCAATATTTTTACCGTTATGTCTGTGCGATATCGATGAGAGCTCAACAATTAGTGAATTGAAATCGACAGAAAATGAAATAAGTGATAATGTGACGATATCGAATGATAAGCCGTTAATATCAACAGGCAACGAGTTGTGGGACGGCCTCATTCGGGATTGCCTTAAAAAGCCAACATTTTCATGCATTCAAAAGAATGTCTATACATTTTTGGATGCGACATTTGGATTGAAAGATGTTAATATAACTAATCGAGTTCAATTGACACAAAACAAAGTGAATTATGAGCTTCCGGAACCAACGCCAAGTGATGAAGAAAATGAAATTTTCTTTGAGGGTCGAGGTAAATTGAGTACACGTGCTAAATTAATCTTTTATTGCATTTTCAACTTATATGGCCTTGTAATTTATACTGACAAAAAGAAAAAGACATCTTCAGCATGACAATTAAAATGGAAGAGAATGAACTTAATAACAATAGCTGACACTATTTTGTGCTGTTTTTTTATGATTGATATCTCCAACAATGTAATGTGAAAAAGTTTAGAGATTCAACACTTAGATGAAGTCAATTAAGTTATTCAATTCAGATTCTTTTGTAATTGAACATATTAGCGTGTTTAACTCCAGTAACTGCTAATCGTAAGGCATTACTGAAAAAACATTATTTTTAACAGTTTTCAATCTAAAAGGCTCATTACTTATTATACATAAACAGCTTTTATCTGCTTCTTTATATCCATCATTTAACAGTATAATTTACGGATTTGTTTCTGATCATCATATTTGGGGATTTTGGAAACTATGTGGCAAAATAAGTTCATAAATGACGTCCTTCAAAAATGTTGGATTTTGAAATCCCTTTAGTGTGACGTAGCCCCAAAAATCAGTTTTGAACATATCCTTTTGCTAAATGAATAAAACTTTCTAATGAGCTTTTCCAGGCTTAAAATATCATACAAACTATTCATCTTTTTGAAAAGATTATGTTTTAGCTGTAAAGAAATTGATATTACAATTAAATCTGTTCCTTGAATTATGTGATTGATTTAAGATTATCATAGAATGGATTTTGAATCTTTTATGAATTTAAGTTAATCTTCCGGAATTCTCAATATCAGAAATGAATCCATCATATTATAAATTCAACGATTTGTATCTTAAATTAAAATCTTATCTCATAAGTTGATCCATCTTCAAAGAATTTTAAAGAATCAATCATATAAATAAATAAATACTGTAAAGCAATAAAGATAATCTCCAAAAATTCGATTTATTCGTAAAGTCAATTCAATAATATATCACAATAATCTTCTTATATCAATAACTACACAGGTGCAGCACCAATTGAAGAGATCTCAAGCGCTTTCTACGATAAAAGCGTAAAATTCTTAGTCACGCACGACATGAACTTCAAACTCCCAGACATGGTTTTTGATGGTGCGACATTCCGAATCTCACCACGAGCAATTGAGGGAAGTGGCATTGTTGCAAAACTCGAATATATTCCAAATCCAGAGATTACAGAAGTCGAAGCAAGAAGTGAAGACCTCGCGAGATTATTCAAAAAGAAGATCAGTAAGTCAAGTGCCTGTGATTCTCATTATTAAATAATAATTATGTCTTGTTGTCTCATTTGTGTAGAGAAATTTTTTAAGAAGAAAATTGTACTGGCAGTGATTGCAGTTATTTTGATTATTAAGCTAATTAAAATTAAAGTCTTCTGGCTGCTTCCATTACTGGTAAATTGATGACTTAATCTTTGTCGTATTTCTAACATAATATTTCAACTTTTCTCACAGGTTGGTGTTGGAACCGCAAAGAAGCTTGTCTTGAAATTCTTACTTTTCTTGTTCCCAGCATTGTCTCATGTAATGTCAAAATGTTTTTACTTTCATTATAAGTCATAATTGCTATTGTCTGTTGAACTTGTTCTTTAACATGGAAAATAGGTGTTCAAATTGTGTGGATATTATCAAGCCAACTTGCAGAAGACAAACTATCACCATCATAAACATCATATCAATCACCTTCATACTGTAAGTAAAGCAATTATTAAAGTTTTAGACATTTTTTACGATTTTGGCGGGAAAAACTTAAAATCTTTTGTACTTAATACAGGTGTTGTATGACGATGCTCATACTGGACATTCAGGACATTCAGGACCTTCGGGACATGATGGACATGATTATGTAAAGAGTTATATCAAGGCAAAACCACCAACTGGACATGTCTCAGAATACCTTCACAAGTAATAGAATTTTACAGTTTAATTGCTTCCAAAAAATTTATTCCAAAGAAATGAAACTTATTCTCTTATTTAATTTAGTATCATTGCTTACTGTAGTCGGTAGTTAGACAGTAGATTAAACTAGATAAACAACAACAAAAAAAGTAGAAACATTTTCCATTTTAACAAATCCATTTATTATGCTGCCTTTAACAATAACAATATTTAACATTCATCAGCCATACAATTGCTTTAACTTCATATTTTATTATCTTTCTTCTTCTTTCATACCTTTCGCATTATCTGATCATCTACCTTATAATACTTAAAATTAAAATAAAATATAGCGCACCAGTGCCACCTCATTTAAGCTACTATCAACCAGCTCATCAACCATCGCCCTCTGATGACGAATGGGCATTGAGTGGACCCAGTTTGGGGTCGGAGTAAGTTGCATGTGATTCAAAAGAATCATTTGAGGAATCGTGTCTTAATTATGCACAAATATAAACACACATTTACACTCACACATACACAAAAATAATTTTTGGTTTATAATCATATGTTTTGGAATCGCACATCATTTACTAAATTCTAATTTATGGAAAACAAAAAAAAATATATTCAAAATGAAACTTATAGACATAAGAAAATCTGTGACTAACTTGCACGAACGTTCATTCATAAAAACTCACTTGATTGTATTAACAGGTTTATTAGTGATAGAAGTTCGAATGAAGTTAATAGACCAAAATTCGATGGTGCACATCATAAGGGTCATTATCCACCACCTTCATCTCATAATTTAAATCCACTCACTCCATACAAAAATAGGTAGGTTCTAGTGATGATTTTAAAAGAAAGTGAAATCGCTTACTCATGTCTATAAATAGAATCGAGAAAGTCTTTGGCTATTTCATCTTCTTATTTTTGATATTAGCGTGAAAAAATGAAGCTAATGCGAAATTTAATTCAGTTCAAGTTTTGTTTTGGAAGTAACATCTATTCGTGTTTGCCATTTATCATAGAATGTTATTGCAAAATAACCGAATAATTGGGTAGAAATTGGAATAAAAAATTGTTTGAGGGAGCTTGCTTCTTGCTTGATAAACATTAAATTTTGAAAGGTTTGCTTGCTATTGAAGAAAAGATGCTTAACTTGACTTGACGAATCTTTCGTAACAGTAGGGTTCCTCTGAGAAACCACTGCTTAATTCAAGGGGGTCGAACTGATTAAAAACAATTAAAAGTCAGATGAACAATTTCAAATCCTTGGATTGTATTGATAAAAATGTCCCGAATGGTTTAATTTGGTTAATCTATCAGATTAATTCTGGATTTCAATTAACCGACTTGTGCTATTCGGGTGTACTTTAGAAATTCTTTGTATTTGCGCCGTTTAAAGGATGAATTATGTAGTCTGAATTTCAAAAGACTAAACTAAACTAAAAGATTTTAGACACATTGAAATCTATAGAACGTATATCTGACATTACTTAAATGAAAGGAAATTACATAAAATATTAAATTTTCACAATTAATTGGAATCGGATTGCAAAAATTGTCTTGATTGCTATTTTTACCCGTTACTTCTACGTCATGGATTAAACGGAAAGTCAGTAGTCCGATGAAATTCATTTTTGGACACTTGATTGTTTTGAAAAGCACATGCGATTCAACACGTAATTGAATATTGATTCTCTATTTTTATGAACGTAATAAAAATTTAATTGTTTTATAATTTGAAGAACTGTTAGGGATTTTAAGCAGTGTTGCAAATGTAGATGTCTACACTAGATGAAGAATGTAGATTCTTCAATAGTTTTTGTCTAGCTAAGAAACTTTCTTCATAAAGATCGATTCTATATGAAGATAGAAAATCTAATCTACACAAAGATTATTTCTACATAAAGATTCTGTCTGCATAAAGATTCGATGTAGATGTCTACAATTCTACATTTTTTTCCAGGTCTACATCAGAGAAGAATGTAGAATTATAGACATCTACATCGAATCTTTATGTAGACAGATTCTTTATGTAGAAATAATCTTTGTGTAGATTAGATTTTCTATCTTCATGTAGAATCGATCTTTATGAAGAAATTTCTGTCTCAGAATTTATCTGATCCAGACAAATGGACAAAATGCAACACTGATTCTATGACTTAGACGAGGCTATCTCGAAATCCCGATCCCGATCCCGATAGCGAGAAAGCCTAAGTCTTAGACGAATCGCAGTTGAATATTTAGACTTTACCTCATGACTTTAAACAGAAGACGATGCCATGAAAGCTTTTGAATAAAGTCGAGTCCACTTCAGTTGACTTATCGTTACAAAATCTTAATCAGCACTAAGATCCACTAGTTCAAAAAAAACCATTTTACTCAATAATGAGTCTGATGGATGTCACTAGATATCAGATCAAAGGTATCATTCAAGCACAGTAAGGCATTAAGGAATTCATGTTAGATTAGATAGCATGTCGCAGAATTTTGAAGCTAACAATCAGGTTTTTTATTTGACTTAATATTATTGTTTAATTGGCACAAGTAAATGCTCTCAAGACACTTGACATCGCAAAAAATGAGAGCAATGAATTAACTTTCAAAATTTTTACAATTTAGTGTAGTGATTACGGACCGGCATTTTTTTAAAGATTGGTCATTTAAAATTTTTTGTAGCTTTTTGGGGGTAATTAATGAATGACGTCTAGAATCAAAGGAAATGGGATGACCCCATAGATACAAAATGTATTATCGGGTTTAAGAATCTCACCAGTTAATAGACGTCATTTGTGAATGACCCCTTAATTTGTTTTTATTTTGTTTTGTCAGCTAATTAATCAACAAAAATTAAATTTTTTGTATGTTACTCTCCATTGATGAATTATTCATGTTAACGCAAGTTTTCTCCTCGTCATCTCTAATAAAATAGGCCGACTTACTATAAAAGACGAACACAAACATATGGTCCACCACCAAGAGTATCTGGATCCGCAATAGCGGCATCGCAAATTCATCCACAATACATAAATGCACCAGTTGATGAGAATTTGGTGAGTTTAACAGCAATTTATATAAGCACGTTCTTTTGATATTGTCTAACACTTTACATGCATAGCTTCGAGTTCTTTGAACGTTTTGATTGATTTTTTTCAATTTCACTCTCGTCTATAAAGAAGTAGAGAAATATGAAGTTATTGATAATAAACAGACGTGCAGCAGAGAGAGAAGGAACGATAATTGCGCTTGTGAATGAAATGCTTTTTTTTTCTTATTTTTATTAAATTCATCTTAACTAGGAAATCATGTCTCGACATACTTTTTTTCCTCTTCTTCTTTATTATTTATCTTCTCTCTTACTGGCTCTTTTTGCTCAATGTTCATATTTGTTTTTATAGCTTTTTCTTTCTTTCTACCTTTCTTACTGAAAACATCAACTTTATATGCATTTAGTATGGAATGTATGAATGAAATAAAGTTGCAAAGTTATCGTTTTAATCTATTTTAAAAAGTTTAATGCTAGGGCGCAGTTTAAAGGAACTGCAATAAATTCGTGAAGTTTATGCATGCTCTGGATTTGTCGTGATAAGGAATGCATTAATTGAAATTATATTTCTTTGAAATTCAGTGTGACTTTGAATTTTATTGAAAAGTATGCAGCTGCACGAAGATCCTTTAATAATAAGGATGCCAAGGGTGCCGAACTGATCAAAAATGATCTAAATCTAATTCTAATGAAGGATGCTCATGTAATGTATACAGTACTAAGAAGCGTTTTCAGTTATGATTGAATACCAGCACTATAAACTATAATTTAACAACCTCATAAAAAGCTTCTTCATGTTCCTTAATCGTACCCTGAGAAAATTGGTCTAAGAAATAGTCAGGCATATGATGATGAGCATTCAATTCCATTCTCTTTTTAGCGACAAACTCTTTTTTTTTCGACAGATTCATTTCTTTCAAACTGTGTCGAATAAAATTTGCGAAATAATTATAGACATGAGGCTGAATAGACAGCGATTGATAAATGGAAGCGCTGACCTGTTTCACTCAAACATGTGCAAAGTTAATTAAATCAGATAAAAAGCTTTTCAATTATCAAGAACTCAATCTATTCAAATTGTCTAACAAAGATTTCATTCTATAGAACAAAGTGCCATTAGTTCCACACTAGCTATCCATGAAAAATAAGTGAAGAAATTTCTTTACGTGCATACTTTGTTTATGAATCATATCCATTATATTAATATAGTTGTACGCGCGTCTTTATTACTGGGTGAATTGATGTTTGTTGTCGGTGTTTTATTGCTTCTTTCTTTTCTTTTATCGCACTAAATGATAACTGAGTATATGCTCATCACGTGGTACCAAATGAAAATATTTTCATGTAAACATTCGCTGAGAGAATCAAAATAAACAGTTGTTTCTCTTACTGCTTGTTGCTGTTTGTTTTTTTCGGGAAAACGACCTTAATACCACAAAGTCATATTTATTTTAATATATACAATTAGCGGAACTTTAATTTTTATTATTTACGTATGCATGTATATGGGAAAGTATTAAACGGAAATAGATCATGAAATTAATTTGAAAGATTTTTCAAGAAACTTATAATTCGTGGATGAAATGTTAGCGGCAGCATAGAAAATTATAGATTATAGCGCGCTATGTGCATGCAGAGAATCATGAAAGAGACAGCTTCTTAGTGGTATATCACTTTCGCTTCTTCTAGAGCCAGTGGTTGCCAACCTATGTGACTCGGAACCAAAGTATGTCGACGGAAAATGCTTAGATTTATATCATACAATTGCAAGACTTAAGAAGTAACCTGTCATGAAATAGGTTGTCCACTTCTGTTCTAGACACGATGCTATTGCATAATGCTTACATGAACTTACTCTCTAGCTAGTCTAATAATCGAAAGATGTAAATTACAATCTTTCACTTTTCATTTTTTTATTCCTTCTTGATTTATATTCTTGCAGATCAAGGCACAACGTCAAGAGGCACTGAGAATACAAAAAGAGCAGCAAATAATTGCCAGGCAACAATCAATCTTGAATTCACAGCCATTTGTTTCTGATGTTGAGGTTTGTATACTTTTTACTATTTATTTTAAGTGGCACTTCCAAAAAACTTGTAATCTTTACATCCATCGAGGTGCGATATCACACATCTAATTCATACATGACCTAAAAGTTGAAGCTTACTTTCGTTTTGAGATTGATTTTTGACACTCTACTGATTTGATTACAATTGGAATTTTATGATTATTTGAGAGATGTATGCACAGATTATTTCGGTCATGTCTTCATGATTATTAACATATTTAATCTTCTCACAACATCCAAAAATTAAGACAATAAATAAAAATTCCCACTCGATTGCCTTAAAAAAGATTAAGAAGTAGGAACGTCAATTGGCAATTTCACACTTTTGATTTCAGTTTAAAAACATTAAAACTTATTTTTAAGCTTTCCGGCTGATTAATTTATGAGAATGATAATTTTACTTTTTCTTTATATTAATTCCAAAATAAAGCCATTGACACCGAAACCAATTGACCCGTTTTATTCACCAATTCTGAATAAATTGGATCAAGTTTTCCACCAAATGGGATACAGTGATGAGCCATGTAAAGAAAGAATGGTGTGTAACATGTACAAAGAGCCGACAAAGTATAGTCCAAATAGTAATTACGTTTCTGCTGAGTTAAGCAGGTATGTGTCTCCATTAGCAACTAATAATATCAAATTATCATAATTTTTGTCACATCTAACAGAGACTCAACGGAGCTTCAACGACCGACAAGCACAAATCCAGCAGTTTTTCGATTCTACAAATATGTTCAAGCGGCACGTGATGGCCAAGACCAGAGAGATTGTGCTATTATGTATCCATGTAATTTGCCAACAAAAAAGTAGTAAATTAATAATTCATTAATGTCAGCTAGTGACAGGATCTATGACTATGCAATAATTGCATATGACAATAGACATAAAAAAATGCAATTTTCTCTTTTTTGCAGTCAATTAGTCAAAAAAGTTTAGAGAAAAAAAAATTAATTTATTTTATTGATAAGTCAAACTTAATTCAGGAAGCGGCAAAGCGTTGCTACTATGTACTTTTTTTCAAAAAAATTTAATTTATTTATTTGTGTTGTATTTTGTTTGAGATAAGAGCCAGTGTTGTTGTTCTGTATGTCTTGAATTGTTGATGACTTAGATTTGACATCAGCTGGGTCAGACAAATTAAGAGCATGCTCCTATTAATGAGTATACTTACATATGAATACTTCCAGTAACCAGATTGTTAAAAAGGTTGTATTAAGCAAGCTTAGGACTAGTTTTTATGATTTAAGCCTTGTTCAATTTTTTTCTAATTTTTTCAAATTATCTAGTTACTGGTGAATGCTTTGTTGGTACAAATGAGTATGGTCATAAATTGGGTATGCTCTTTTAGAACTCAAAGATGTTCTTCTTTTGAGCTCTAGTCAAGGGTTTATTGAGATGGGTTTTCATTTATTTCATTGTCACAGAACAGTGTTGTCCAAACTGTGTGCCTCGGCACACTGGTTTGCCGTAGAAAATTTTTGCTAATGACGCAAGCCGCATGCTCTGTGCGACTTTGGTCAGGCTTACCCTAAAGTGGGTCTCAAAAACGTTGGACAACACTGTCATAGAACGACAGAATTTTGATTTTGACTAGCTTAAGCAATAACTGAGTTAACAACACTGGAGAGAACTCATGGAAGTAGTGTTATCATCCGATATGAGCCATAAAAATAATTTTATATTAACAGAAAAAAAAATCCGAAGAAGCGCTAAAAAAGAAAAGAATAATAAAAGAGAAAATTGAAGGTACACATAACAGTGAAGTCACAACAACAACAACAACAAAAACGTAAATGTGTCGAAACTTGTTGTGTTAATTTTGTTAAGACAAAAAAAAATGTCAGAAAAGATATTTTTGAACTGAATAATTGGAAGAGACAAAGAAGTTCATTTTTTACTTAAATGAAAGATGATAAAATAAATAGGAAGAAAGTAGAAATTAACGCAGACGTAGTTGAATGAAAAATGAAAGACTTAAATGACCGATCAGATAACAAAAAAAAGAAGCACTAAAGAGGAGGATGGAATTTGTATGAATACGACGATAGACATGACATGCATTTGTAATCATACAAATTCAAAATAAAAAGTGAAAAAATTGCTACCTCTTTACACCTTTATTAACTTACTTACTTACTCTACATCCTTCTTATTGTCTATTGCTATTTTGTTGATAATCAATAATTTCTCCATCCATTTATGTTATCGACGGCTATAGCTACACATGTATAAAATAATCAATTTTGATCGCGTTATTTACTTCTTTCATATCTGCTACGTATATTATTTTTGGTGTGTGTGCTGCTCAATTAAAAATTAAGTTATTAAGAGAAAGAAATGAAAAACAATTAAATTAACTATGTTTACGGTTCTCGGGTATTTATTCGTAGCTTATAAAGCTTCCCTTCTCAAGTCAATTATTTGAGTCAAAAAGATTTAATTTTTAAATTTATAGAAAGTTTTTACTTAAATCTCATATTTTACAAGAAATTGTTAATTAATCAATTGATTGATTGTGTATTTAGTTGTGTAATATTTATTATTTATTTATTTATCTATTTGTATGAAGTATATGTAAGTTGTAAGGAATGAAATGAATAATGCATTTAATAAAATCAACAAAAAACTTATGTTTAATTTATTGGAAAACTTTTGAGTGTTTTTGATTGAATTGTTACTTTTAAGTTTCAGGTATTTTTGATTTGGCTACTTAAACATTAATCTTGTAATGATTTAATCATAAGGTTAAAATTAGTCTTATTATTATGTAGGTAATTTATCGGTGAAATGGCATCAGTGACCTAAATGGTAGAGCGTTGGCCTTACGTGCCAAAGGTCCTTGGTTCAATCCCAGGCCATGTCTAATTTTCGAAGCTCTTTTCCCATTTCACCGTTCTAGTTGCGAAGCTCGGTTCGTGTGTTGGGTGTAGTATTGATGTCTTTGGCACAGAATCTGCCTCCTATGCTAGGTATACAAGGACATACTAGCATTTTGCTCACACGAATTGTGACTAGGTACATTGCAAGGTAAATCAGGTCTTATGACGTACTCGTGTCTTTGCAATGTGCAGAGCTTTGCAAGTGGTTCGGATCCCACTATAAACTGTAGGTCTAAAGGGTGTGGTACAAAAGATTCTGTTCTAATTTGAATCGCAGTGCCTCCAGCTGAAAGGCTGGGCCCTTCACACATTATATATATGTAGGTAATTTTATTGAATAACCATTTGAAGATGTAATCTTCTTCTGTTTAGTTTTCAGATTTGGAACCATTTAAATAATACAAAACGCTTATGTTTATGATTTGAAAGAAACTCTAGCTTGTTCTGTAATAACACGTAAATAATCAATTTTAAAAAAATTCTTCCAAGAAGTCAACTCCTGACTTTTCAAGACAAAATACTACTTTTGACTTTCACTCTTCGAATTGTAACAAAATCTCTGATTCAATTTTTCACCCTTAAAGAACTTAAGAAGCGAGCTCCCACTTGATATTCTTCTAAGAAAAATGCACGTAACAGCCAATCAATATCTAAGCCAATGCTAGCAAACAGAAATTTTTGAGTTCTTATTATTCGAAATCCGAATTTTTGAGGTTCTTATTTTTTGAAAATCGAATCTTCGAAGTTCTTATTTTTAAAAAAAATTCATTGTGAATTATTATTTTTCGAGTAATTTGTAATTTTAGTGAACATTCCTACTAGTTTTTATGATTAAGATAATCACTGTGATGAAATTGCATTCCTTAAATGTTTATGCTTTAAAAAACAGCTGGTTTAAAAAAAAATAAAAAGTAACGGACTTTCTTATTTTGGAATTTTAAAATAATACCGAGCGAAAATTTTGAAATTTTTTTGTTTGTAACGGACTCTGTTCTCTTTGCTAACATTGGTATCTAAGAATCTCCAAATGCAAAATGCTCGGAGTTAATATGGATCATAGTTTTATATTTTTGTAAGGCGTGGACACTAAGATTAATCCCAATAATCCTAAATAATCCCAGCATATTTTTGAGTATCCACGCCTTGCGTTTTTGTTTTCCTAAAGAAAAATCTCCAAAAGATTATTAATCAAAAATAGTGGATTATAGGGAAGTTCGAATCTCGTTGAGAAACTGAGCGCAGCTCAGCTGGTTCGTCAAGATTTATGCTTTCAAATTAATTGGTCTTACCACAAGACTTTTGATGGTACGGTGTGAATATATCCGCATTGGATTTCTACCCGATACACTAGTTATATATGGAAATTCATTGAAAAACACGACTTACGTAGAAAGTCACTATCTTCCGCATTTGACTTATGTTAGATTACAGTTCTTATTTATATAGCGGATATATTCACACCATACCATCAAAAGAACAAGGGAACACTATGAACCAGTATAGCTGATTTTGGTCCAACTCTCGGCAATACTTCACACTTATTTGAACCACATTTTCTCGTAAATGTTAAAATATTATTAAAAAGTAATTAATCCTGAATTATGTCACTATTTTGTCAAGTGTTTTAAGATAAAGAATTTGTTTTTTGGTTTCCACAGTGAAGAGTATGAACAAAATTCAGATGGGGTAGTCGAAATTTTAGATTTCGATTTTTTTTAAGTTATGCATTACCCAAAGTAATATTGGTATGTGATTTATGTCAGAATTATGTCAATTCAAATAAAACATCCAAAAAATTTTTTTGACCAAAGAACACCATAGAAAATCAATTTTCAATTTTGGACTAGGGGCGACCCTAGTCAAAATCAATTTTGTCACTTTTTTCTTCGAATGTTTATACAAATGGATTGAAACTTTGCATAAATATTCAAGTGCTTAAAACAAATACAAATAAAACATGTCAAAATTTTTTTGAGCAAAGAACCTTGAAAGAACCAAGAAGGAAATACATTTTCAATTTTGGACTAGGGGCGACCCTAGTCAAAATCAATTTTGTCACTTTTTTCTTCGGGGGTTTATCCAAATGGATTGAAACTTTGCATAAATATTCTGATGTTTAAAACAAAAACAAATAAAACATCCCAACATTTTTTGAGCAAAGAACCAAGAAGGAAATACATTTTCAATTTTGGACTAGGGGCGACCCTAGTCCAAATGGATTGAAACTCTGCATAAATATTCAAGTGCTTAAAACAAATACAAATAAAACATCCTAAAATTTTTTTGAGCAAAGAACCAAGTAGGAAATACATTTTCAATTTTGGACTAGGGGCGACCCTAGTCAAAATCAATTTTGTCACTTTTTTCTTCGGGGGTTTATCCAAATGGATTGAAACTTTGCATAAATATTCTGATGTTTAAAACAAAAACAAATAAAACATCCCAACATTTTTTGAGCAAAGAACCAAGAAGGAAATACATTTTCAATTTTGGACTAGGGGCGACCCTAGTCAAAATCAATTTTGTCACTTTTTTCTTCGAGGGTTTATCCAAATGGATTGAAACTTTGCATAAATATTCTAGTGCTTAAAATAAATACAAATAAAACATTTTAAAAATTTTTTGACCAAAGAACCAAGAAGGAAATACATTTTCAATTTTGAACTAGGGGCGACCCTAGTCCAAATGGATTGAAACTCTGCATGAATATTCAAGTGCTTAAAACAAATACAAATAAAACATCCTAAAATTTTTTTGAGCAAAGAACCAAGTAGGAAATACATTTTCAATTTTGGACTAGGGGCGACCCTAGTCAAAATCAATTTTGTCACTTTTTTCTTCGGGGGTTTATCTAATTACAGTGAAACTTTGTGTGAGAAAACTAGAAGTTTCTACAATGTCTCGTTATTGAGATTTCTTGCTGATTAACTTGCTTGTTTGCTTGTTTGCTTGCTTACAGAAAGCATATTTTGCGATTTTCTCAGCAATGCCGCAACCAATTTGAAATCTGTTTTTTGCAAAAGATGTGAAATTCAAGGCACAAACTTTTCATGTCTGATAATTTTAAGCTATCTTGCTCAATATCCTCACAAAATTCTTAAAACTGATTTTTCAATCTGAACAAAACCAATAAATTCACACTTGAAAACGGTGTGAATATAAAAAGTTTATAACAGTCTGTTGCAAAAAAAATTTCATATAAAAAGGCTTGGTAATTTAACGGTTGTTTGAGATTCAAAATTTTTCAACGGTAGAAATAAATTCGAATTTCAAAACGCTCTCATCGCGTGTTTTTCATATGAAATATAAAAATCATCAATTATAGTACAAAAACACTGTTTTAAGACTTTTAAATGTGTTTCGCGAAAATAAAACAGTGGACCTGAGCAAATAAAACAAACTAGAACTCTCTACGATGTCTAGTTAAAAAGTTTTTCTCCGCCCGAACGAACAAACAAAGCGACATATTAAGCTACCTTTTCGAAACAAGTTTCAAAAATGCGCTAAAAAATCCAAAATCTCTTTGAAAAATTTCTAGGTAAGTCCTTACATAGCAGAGTTGCGATCTGCTACAGGCAATCACAACATCTGTGACAGATCTGTCACAGTGCCTGTGACAGGCGACCTGTATCGCAAATCTACTACATAGATTATGGAAATAAAATGCAGTTCTATTGCATGAATTCAATATTCAGAATTCATATTTTCAATCTTCTATTTTAATTCAGAAACTCTTAAGTATCATGATCCCATCAACCTACTCACAATTACTTAGGAAGTCAATTTTCACTTAAGTCATTATCGACATTTATGTAAAAATAAGTAATTTTATTTTCTAAGGCTAAAGTATTTCCCGTCAAAAATGGTAAAAAGCTCTTTTATAGATCGACAACAATGAATAGCTTCAATAAAATATTTTGAGATCAATGGATCTATTGAAGATTATCAAAGAAGAATAGACAATCTGGTGAAAATGTCTATGAGAGAGAAACGATAGGTGTCTAACATGAATGATTTTTATTATGTATTGATGATATATAATAAAATATGAAAAGAAAGCTAACACAAGTCATCCGAATATCATGAGGAGTCATAAATCTTAGCAGTATACAAATAATTTATATGATTATTCCAAATTCAGATAATTATGACATATCCAGCTGTGCTTAATGACTCTGGAATGTAAGGAATGAAATTATTTGTGGTACTGGATGTTTCTTCTTTCACTTTTATTTAACTTTGGTCAACAGAACTGAATATGGGAATTGTAAACATTGATGCATAAGAAAGTGAAACAACAACTAAACAGTTGTAGCCCCCACAAAATGAAGGAACAACAGAGCGTACTCAAAGCACATATTATGCAAATTATTATCAGTGCGTCTTCTTCATACATGTGATATAAAAAGCAATGTTAATATATCGCACTAATTCATTCTGGTTTAGTTTTCTGTGGTGTCAACATTTGATTGTAGGTGGACAGCAGTTAAAAATAAAAATAATTAAAAATGAATAAAATTATTATAGCATTATGCTTGGTCACCGTTTGTTATCAATCAGTAAATGCTAATGATATCTCAGCAGTAGATCTTATCGGCGATATATACAGAAGCTGTGTTAGTCAATACTCAACAAGCTGTATAACCCCAAAAGCATTATCATGGTTAAGCAGAGCTATAAATCAAGATACGATAAAGATTACTGATGATATGACAATTGTACGTACCGGAGAAGATGCTTTTGACACTGCAGAAACTCGCACAGATGTACATCCAATCGTTAATTTATTAGACAAAACAGATAGCTTCTTATCATCACATGCTTTGAGAATTGAATCCCCAGAGATCCTCAAGACAGAGGAAGCTCGCTCATACATCCCGAAATCATTACTCAAAGGAGGACTCGCTGACGGTCTTCAAATTCCTTTGGTTGAAGGAAATGTTGCTGAAGGTGAGTAATCAACTTTCTATACAACTTTTTACGCATTGACACACCCTCTAATTCCTATATAGGCCGCTCATTTGTGAAGAGAGTGATGATCCCATTCATTCTTGGTTTGAAGTTCAAAACAACAGTATTAGTGCCGCTAGCGTTAGCACTGATTGCATTGAAGACATGGAAGGCAATGACCTTAGGATTACTTTCCCTCGTCATGACAGCCGCGATGGTCATCTTTAAGTTCGCTAAGCCAAAAATCGTAAACTATGAAGTCGTTCATTATCCACATCCAATTGAGCACCATCATGTCCCACATGTTCATGCACATGCTCATGCTCATCCACCACATGTAGTTTTAGAACCAACACCTGCCTGGGCTAGAAATTTTGATGCTCAAGAAGCCGCTTACAATGCATACTTGTAGATTTGGAATCAAATTAGACCGACTTGTTACAATTTATTTATTTATTTATGGATGAATGTCTCTCTTTTTGATATAATGACTTAATAAATTAACATTGTTGATATGTTTATAAGATCAAATTATGATTTTTTTTGCATCACTACATGTTACTTAATAATTTATAATATTTAAAATCTCCAGCAAATTCGCTTCCAGGTTTGATAATGTTTCTCCGTCAGTCACGTAATTAGCAAGCATGATCAGCACAGACACAGCTTGTATGGTCTAAACTTTTGATTTCATTTATCAATTATCTGAGAAGAAAATTCAATTGTGAATCACTTATGAAAGTGAATAATGAGATTATGTAAACGCTGATTAAAAGCTGGAAGTAACAAAACATGCATAATAAAAATCTTTTGAGCATTACAGTATTAATTTGGCATCTACTCAAAAGCTTTCAAAATTGGAAAAATAACAGAGTAAAATTTTCACATATTTTCTAATTTTTTGTGTGTGATCCAATAACGCATTTTCTAATGCCTATAGTCACACACACTGGACAAACATTAAATTAAATTAAATTAATCAATCATAAAAAAGCAGACCAAAATTTAAATTATAACGGATGCATTAATATTTTTTCAAAATATTTAGCTCAATCTACTTTTGTAATAGGCAACAAGAATGAAGTAAGTGACGAAGATTGTCACATTTTCAATGTTGATCGTCATGATATTTTGTTTTTGTTTTTCAAGACGGATTTAATAGCAAATGTAATTTCAATATTCAACACGTGATTGTTTTTTGTTTTATTGAATTTTTTTGCTTGTCTGAATTATCGAAAGTTTTGGCATTTTGACTGACTGGATGTTATTCAGACATTTCTAGATGTTAGAATAAAGTTATTCATTGATGTTTATGGTTAGATAAGAGCTTATTGAATGAGATTTTCACAATGGTTTAAATATTTTTTTGAAAATCTGATCTCAAAATTGAAACTTTTATAGGGTGATAAAATTTAACACCAAAACACATAATATCCTGTAATCCAGTTCGTATTTATAAATTTAAAATAATGTAAAACATATTTGGAATTGAAAATGGTCTTAAAATTTATAAAAAAGGACCTTAATAAAGATAATTAAGAAGAACTTTTGTAGGGTTTTTAATTTGAATTTTTAATTTCCGTTATGAATTTCAAAATCAAGACTACGTTCAAACTTACAATCTGCATGCCATTACCAAATGCATTGTAAGTAGATTAAATTTTATTCGTCACTTGCAAATATTTGAAGTAGCTGAAAGAAGAAAAGCGAAAACATAAGGTTGAAGACGATACGATTAGCAGTTGATAGGAAGTGAATACATTGAAAATAAAAAAGCAAGAATGTGTACGCGTACAACTGTCAACCTGTGGTGGGTGGCTTAAATTTATAATTCGCATATAAAACGAGCTTACAATTAAATTTAAATTATCAGTATCATTATCGAATAAGCATAGTGAAGACAGTCATACGAGAAATATTCATTAAGTTCATTAGACAAAATGTTGCGAAGTGTTATTTTGTGTATTTTGGTAGCTGCTGCTTTCGCTAGTCCTGTTGATCAAGTGAGATCAATGTGCGATAATGATGGTGATTCATTTACATGCTTAAAGTACAAACTCATGAGCTATTTGGAAACAATCGTCAGCAAAGATAACTATAAGGTAGGTTCCACAAATAAAAAAACAACTAAAATAGTTGACTTATGGATTTAAACAGCTTACAGATGCCGTTGAAGTCCGATCCAATGGATATACCCCAGCTTTCGAATCTCGTGGTGATAAGGACGTTTTTGAAAAAGTCGAGGATTACATCCAAAGTCATGATGCCACATTCAAATTACCAGCAGCTGGTGCTGAAATTACGTTATCATCAAAAGCCGTCAATGATGGAGAATTAGACCTTAATGTGAAATTTGCTGGTGTTGAGGAACGTGGAAAAAAATCAAAACTGAAGAAAATCATGATTCCAATCCTCGTTTTTGTCTTGCTTAAAGCCATGACATTAGTGCCACTCGCACTTGGCGTTCTCGGTTTGAAGGCATGGAATGCACTTCAATTATCATTCTTCTCATTCATCGTCTCATTCGCTTTAGCTGTCTTCCAACTATGCAAGAAGGTAAACAAAATTATGTCAATATGAACTTTTTTCTATCTGTTGCTTCTTCTTCCTTCTCTATTTACTATGTCTCTTTAACATAAAAACCTTTTGAAAAAATGAATATAAAATTTCATAAATATAAAGCTTGCGGTCGATAATCATCATCCTCAGATTTCTACCCATGGACACTTTGTGGATGCTGGCAGAAGCTTCGTTGAAGATTTGTTCCAAGAACCAATCCCTGAAGGTCAAAACTTGGCCTACAACGCCTATGTTTAAATAAGCAAAACCAAATAGGACGAGAAACAAACGATCATGCTGTAGATATTTATTTATGCATAAGAAACAAAAAACTGTCTTCTTTTATAAAAATTGAGAGAAAATGTTGTTAATTTATTTAATAAATTATTAGAATGAATGAAATGAAAAAAGAATTTTTTTAAATTAAATTTGTGATTTTATCCAGTTTTATCAGACTTAAATTAGCGGTAATACCAAATAATATCCATTAAAAAAGAGCCAAACGGCACTTCCTTCTTAAAATTCCTAATATTTAGAAACTAGTGAGACATCAACTATAGTGTTCAGCCAATTGTTGAATAATAATTCTCTTTGGTAATTCATCCATCGTTTCTTGCACGCCACTCTTATCAGGACTAATTCTGATAAAAATCTCTTTAAGAAACAGTTTTTTCAGCACACGATTTATAGACTTAAATTCATTTTAAACATCAATAACCTTCTCAGTATATTAGCGTGTTTGCACACTCTTAAAGTAGCAATTTACAAAAATAAAAAGGTTAGAGATCAAGTTTAATGATAGAAAATGCATCGGCCTGTTTCACTAAAGTGGATTATTTTCGATTTTAGACTATACTATGGGGCAAAATGAAAAAAAAAGGGACTTTCACTTTGAAAAATGGACTTTTCCGATTTACACTTTTTGGGTGATTTTTTCTTGTAGAGGACATAAAAGTAGATAGAAATGCCAAATTTCAGGTCATTTGGTGCTGATTTCGCGATTCTAGAGCTGTTTGAAGTTGAAAACTAGTGAAAATTCTGGTTTTTTCATACCATGTTTGAACCGGGAAATATCTTAACTGGTTTAAGATATTGCAAAACGGTTTTCAGTTCCTATTAGTAGTATATAAGAGCTTTATTTTGACATATAACAAAGTTTAGGTTCTGAATGTTTTCGTGCCATTATGGTAGAACATATGTGAAAATTTCAGGAAAATTATCTTCAAACAAGCCGCAACTATCATAAATGAAGAGTTTCTAGGCAAGTAAAAACGCAGTTTTGTAGCCCCATATATCTAGTTTTCAAAACTGTATAAACTTTGAAAAAGTAAGCTAACGTAATTGAGTTATGTTGATTTTAGTAGGTCGTTGAGTATTTGGCCAAAAACTAATAATTCTTTTAAAAATACGAAAACATAGTTTTAAAAATAGTTTTTTGGTGTTTTCTTATGAAAAATAACAATTTAAATGATTTTGTGAAGAAAATTTTTCAAAAACTTCAAAATCTTTCGAGATATAGGGGGTATGTGCTCTCCATCGATTTGGCCATTTGTCACCCTACTTAAACCACTATAACTTTTTTTTGAAAAAATATTTTTTAATTCTGTTTTCGGATTATTGTAGCCTAATGTAATACCTATCCAACGATATATAATACTTGCTAGTTAACTTAGTCCTGGTTATTTATAGGGCTGTTGATTGTGACATACGCAGTTTTTGAAAAATTCCCAAAAATTGCATTTTCAAAAATACCACTTTTAAGCAATCTCGAGTATTTTTTTAGAACTTTTTTATGTTTATTTATGACATTTATGAGATTATAAAGCCAAAAAATTAAATTTAGAAACTTTTTACTTCCCTAGTTAACAACTTTGTAAAGTACCCTTGGTAGTCACTATCAGGTGTGAAAATCTCAGTTTTGAAACTATTTTATATATATACTCGTGAAATTCTCTCTACACATCATATCAGTTTTGAACTTCATTGAACAAGTCACTTTCAAAAATGAACCAAAATTCAACACTTACGAAGAAAACACTCTGTGAAATTCTTCGCGACAAAACGTTAAATCTTGCAACACAGCACACGTACTGTTTGGCAGTAATAGAAGAAATTCATGGGAGAGAATTAGCGGAATCACAGAAACCAAGTTTAATTAATAAATTAAACAAGCTGAAGTCAAAGTCAAAAATGTTTTGTAATCAGTCAAATTGGAATAATGCATTAAGAGATCATGCAGATTTCTATGAAGAGGAATTTGAAGTTGACTCACGATACTTCAGCGAATCTAGTGGAGGGATTCTTTTTGAGGAAGAATCTATATATGAAGCAGAAAATGTTACTGACACAGATGAAGATATGGATGAGATTGAATACATCGTCCATGACATAGAGCCTTCATCCAGCAAGGGCATCAAGAGGAAATCATTTGAACAACTAACAAGCGATAAGCATCGACGTAGAAGAGTGGACGAATTAGATATCAGTTTAAAAGAAGCAAAAGGATCATTGTTATCAGTTCTTCACTTGGCACTTCGCCTTTCTAAAGAAGAAGGAAAAGTAGAAGGAGCTAAAATGTTAAAAGAATTTATTAAGGCGTGCCAAAAAGGAGAGGATCTTCCAGAAAAAACTACATCAAAACCTAAACAACTAGATATACATGTAGCTCTAGGTGTAAAAGCCTTTAACAATTTATCTCGAAATCAGTACAACAATATTCGACAAGTCCTGAAACTGGAATGCGAAAACGTTTTACCGACAGCTAAAAAATTGTTGAGGTTAGAGAAACAATGCTATCCTGATGACATAACGGTCACCGATACAAGAGCCGTTATTCCACTAAAAAATTTGACACAACTCACCACAAAAAGAGTTATTGAAGCACACAATTCAGAAATATACGACAAAATCAAAATATTACCTTCAGAATCAACTCCAAAAGTTATTCATGCAGAAATGATCGTCACATGGGGGATGGACGGAACAACAGGACAGTCACAGTATAACCAAGGAAAAACAAATTCAAGAAATCAAGAACGAGATAGAACACAACCGAATCAAACGACTAATAATGAAATTATAGAAGACAAATCACTATTGACAGTTAGTATGAGTGTTCAGCAACTACGACATGAAGACGAAAACGGAAATTATATCTGCTTATGGGACAACGAAAACAGTCAATCTGTATACTCAGTACGACCAATACAACTTGAACATGCCAAAGAAACCAGAGTAAATGTTAGAAGGATATATGAAGATATAAAAAATCAAATATCAAAACTTGAACCACAGAGATTCATATGTGAAGACATGCTTTTGGAAATTACGTACAAATTCTACCCCACAATGTTAGATGGAAAAGTTTACACAGACCTTACAGAAACATCAGGATATTGCAGATGTCAGCTTTGTAGATCTGGACCAAACGAGATGAGTGACATAAATAATCTTGATAATGGAAGATTCGAAAAAACACACAGAAAATTTGTTAAAGAACACTTGTATTTCAACACTCAGCCACTTCATACATCAATGAACGTACTCACGACTCTATATGATTTGTCATATAAACAATATGTTCAAAAACACTGGCTGGAGATAACTGAAGAGGAACAGATTGTTTTAGATGTTGAAAAGGCTAGAATAAAGCAAGCAATGTGGGATGCATTTAATGTTCGTGTACTCGAACCAAGACAAGGGGGAGCTGGATCATCAGATACAGGAAACGTTGCAAGAAAAGTTCTTGAAAATCCAGAGCTTCTAGCTAAAACTCTATATCTTAATGAAGAAATAATTAAACGTATATGCTATGTGCTAAACCAAATTCGAAGTTTAGAACCAGTTGATGATCTAGATGAATTTGATAGGTACTGTAAAGAAACATACAGAATGTTTTTGACAACATATAGTTGGTTCAAAATACCAGTAACACTTCACAGAGCACTTGCTCATGCAAAACACTACATGGAAGCCTTACCATTACCTCTAGGAAGAATGAGTGAAGAAGCCGGGGAGTCACAAAACAAATATCTCAGACAAGATAGAGAACTACGTGCCAGAAAAACTTCAAGAATACACAGTTTTACGGATGTTATACATAGAAGACTCTACAGTTCTGATCCAGTAATAATAAAAAAATATATGGATGTAATAAATAAAAGGTTAATGAGAAAAAATGTCCAAGAAGAAGGTGAAACACCTGAGCAACAAACAGAAAATGAGGAAGAAATTGAATTGATTGAGCCAGAAGGAGAAGGTTATGACTTTTCCCAAGCAGAAAACTATGATTATTCCGAAGGACAAGACCATGAATATTCTGAAGAAGCAAACAACGAATGAATAAATAAATTTCATTAAATATGATAAAAAAATGTAAATTAAATTTCTTGACAAATAAACAAAATTTCATTAAACTAAAAATTAAACTTTATTAATTTTACCTATTATAGTTGCGTATCAGAGTATTTTTTTTATTACTCTAATGATAATAGCTTTTTTCAGACTTAACATTTCTTAAAAAAGTCCAAAAAATACTCGAGATTGCTTAAAAGTGGTATTTTTGAAAATGCAATTTTTGGGAATATTTCAAAAACTGCGTATGTCACAATCAACAGCCCTATAAATAACCAGGACTAAGTTAACTAGCAAGTATTATATATCGTTGGATAGGTATTACATTAGGCTACAATAATCCGAAAACAGAATTAAAAAATATTTTTTCAAAAAAAAGTTATAGTGGTTTAAGTAGGGTGACAAATGGCCAAATCGATGGAGAGCACATACCCCCTATATCTCGAAAGATTTTGAAGTTTTTGAAAAATTTTCTTCACAAAATCATTTAAATTGTTATTTTTCATAAGAAAACACCAAAAAACTATTTTTAAAACTATGTTTTCGTATTTTTAAAAGAATTATTAGTTTTTGGCCAAATACTCAACGACCTACTAAAATCAACATAACTCAATTACGTTAGCTTACTTTTTCAAAGTTTATACAGTTTTGAAAACTAGATATATGGGGCTACAAAACTGCGTTTTTACTTGCCTGGAAACTCTTCATTTATGATAGTTGCGGCTTGTTTGAAGATAATTTTCCTGAAATTTTCACATATGTTCTACCATAATGGCACGAAAACATTCAGAACCTAAACTTTGTTATATGTCAAAATAAAGCTCTTATATACTACTAATAGGAACTGAAAACCGTTTTGCAATATCTTAAACCAGTTAAGATATTTCCCGGTTCAAACATGGTATGAAAAAACCAGAATTTTCACTAGTTTTCAACTTCAAACAGCTCTAGAATCGCGAAATCAGCACCAAATGACCTGAAATTTGGCATTTCTATCTACTTTTATGTCCTCTACAAGAAAAAATCACCCAAAAAGTGTAAATCGGAAAAG